CCGGCCTTCTCGGAGCCTGAGGCGGGCGGGTAGAGGCGCGCCGGGATGCGAGCGGCGGCCCGGTGAAGCGGGGCCGCGGCGGGGGAAGGAGAGGGGAGCCCCCTCGGCGGCGGGCCTGCGCTAGCCGTCGTGCCCTGGCTGCAGGGGAGAGGGGCCGGCGAGAGGAGCCGGGCTGCGCGGCGCCCCGCTGCCTCCTCCTCCTGCCCGCCCGCCCGGCGTTTCCCCCTCCCGGAGCCGCTCCCTCGCCGCCTCCCTCCTCCCGGCTCCATCCCTCCCCGCTTGATGAGGCGGCCCCCTCCCCGCTGCTGACCCCCGCGGACCCCGGCCTGGCTGTAGGGATGAGCCCGGAGGACTCGGAGGGGGCGACGCCGCTCCGCTCCCTGAGGGGGATCTAGCTCGGGCGTGGGGCGCCGCCGGAGGGTGGGGGGCACCGACGCGACGCCGCCCCCCCGCCAGCCACCTCGTCCTTCATGGTGGCTCCCTGCGACCACCATCTCCGAGCAGACGCGCAGCCCGGCCCGGGGGCCCGTGTGTGTGTGTGTGCGCGCCGCCGTCGCGGGCAGCGCGGCCGCCCGAGTGAAGTAAAATGTCCACTCGGACTCCATTGCCCACGGTGAACGAGCGCGACACCGAGAACGTGAGTACCGCCGGCCGCGGGGGGACCGGCCCGCGCACCCTCCCCCGGCGCCGCTGGCTCTGGGGACGCCGGGCCCCGGCCAGCCGGGGGGGGCATCGCCCTGCGGAGGGCTGTCATTAACCTCTTGCCGCTTGTACTGCTCCCAAATTACCGATTTGCTTTAATTATTTTTTTTAACTCCCCCACAGCACGGTTTGCCTGTTTAGTAGCGTTTGCGGGCATCCCTCCCCCAAGCCCGGTGTCCCCTCTCTAACGCTTTATTCGAGTATCTCTCGGTGGCGAGGACCGGGTTTGTTATGTTGGTAACGGGGAGGAGAAGATCCGCGGTGGGGAGGGGGGTCCTGGTGGCTTGCTGTCTTCTCCTAGTATGCAAACTTACTGCTAAAAGCAGCCGAATAAACCTCTGGTAAACAGATGAGACTAATTCAGCTTTGGTAGTGGTGGGCTAGGTGACCTAGATAATAGGCCTCTTCCCTGCTTAATTTGCAGGGTTCTCGACGATAATGACGCTGTTACACTAGTCACCTGTTCAGATGACATTAAAAGGGTTTCTTTATTGGAATTATCGTCCAGATAAAGGAGCCTGTTCCCTCCTTCCTCCCTCTCCTTTTTTTTTTTCCTTCTTCTTCTTAACAAAGCCAGGGTTTAGGAGTTGACATTTTATTTACAGGATTGAGTCGAATGCTGTATTAACAGTTGCACAGGTCGCATGCTAAAGGAAGAAAGAAAGAAAAAAAAATAGTAGTCCTACCACATGAGCAGATAGCCACAAACGAAGCTTAGTAGGAGACTCCCTTTCTGCAGATAGGAACTGTATTTAACTTAAAACTTGATCCCAGTGTATCCTGTCTAACCATTTTTCTGCATAGGCTCTGACATGTCCCCAAATGATAAACAGAAGGGAGTTGTCACTCACTGTAGTCTAAAATGAGTTGATCAGCAAACTTTGTATTCAGCTTTCTGTGAAGGCTATCTGATATTCTTTAGAAGACAGATGCTAAGCTTGACAAAGGAGGCTTTTTTTTTTTTTGAGAGGACTGCTTATGTTTTGGACTGGCAAAAAAAGTGGAAACTTTGGTTAAAGATCAGGAAAAACTGTTGGATTGTTCTGGACCGTAAATAGTCCAAGAAAAGTGATGGTAGCCCCATTGTTTAAAACAAGACCAGACAAAGCATTAGAAAACATGCTGCATGGAACAATTACTGAATTACTGGGGATTTAGATTTTATTGACATAATAGGCACTTCTAACTTCTGTGATCTTTATTTGTTTTAGCACTAGATGCAACCTGCAGGCTAAGGGCTGTATTGAGCAAAAAGCCAACTAAGCGTATTTGGTTGTAAAATCTCAACGAGCTTCCTGCCTTGTGGAAGAAAATAATTAAAATATTATGCGGCTCTTCCTATGCCATGGGGAGAGTTGAAGTTGTAGCATACTCTACAAAATACTATACAAAGTTTATTTGGATAATTGTTTTAGTCTATAAGCAAACCTGACTGAGGTTTTCAAGTTCCATGTAGGTGTGTGGAGGCCACCCAGTAAATAATTTTAGAAAGTGTTCTGTAATGTAATCAGGTTCTCTAATGTAATTAATTCAAACTCTACTATGGATAACTTAACAGTGGAAAAACTTGGTATGTGCTCGAGGAAATACATTATTCACAAGCTGTGTGTTCTAGCACTTGGATTTTTACATGTCTTCCACTTAACGCACCTTGTTCTCACTTTAAAATATTGGTCTAAGACTTCTCTTTAGTAATCTTCATAATTAACATAGATGGATTGTCTTGCTTGCAGATGAATTGCCTTGGGTTTAGATTAAGGCATATTTTTCAACTGCTGTAATCTGGTCTGGTGACCACAGAAATACCTGTAGGTAGCAATATTGACAGGGAATGATTAACCCGAGTACTTGCCAAATCCATTGAACCAACCTCACAGTACAATACTGTATCCCTCAAGAAGCTGTCTCTGATATTCTCGCTATCAGCTATCTAGAAATTCACCAAAATACATTCTGTTTAGCCTTGCTTAAAACTAAATTTAAATCTGACATTTAGTCTGTCTGACTTAGCCCTACAGCTGTGAATGCCAGGTCTCTTTTTTTTAATACCAAATGTGAGGATTTTAATACTTCAATTGACTTTTCTTCCACCGCAAAGCTGGATGTATTGTGTTGGCAGGTAAATTGAGCCCTTGATTCTCCTTCACATAAAAGAAGTCTAATTAGTTAATATTCATAGGACTCTTTGAAGCTCAGGTGGGAAGAGGATTAAGAGGTGCCAAGGTACTCAGCTAGCCTTTGGGCCATGGTTGTGGACCCCCTTAATGACTTCTGTCTGCTTGGAAGGTTACCACTGCTGACAAAGGCTTGGCTGGTGTTGAATCTGGTTGAAGCGTGCTGATCATAGCTTATCCATGCCTATACTTGCAGTCTGAAAATGAAGTTAGCCTCCAGAATGACGGTGAACGTAAATTATCATTGTCTGTGCTTGCAGTTAACCATGTTCAGCGGTTGGCAACTCCTGTTGAATAGACAGGGTCTAATTGTCAGGACTTGATTTTTATTTTTTTTTTTTTTTAAGGCAGTGTATACCACTTCTTATCAAGACATGTACTGCTGAAGTGGAAATACTGTCACAGTGACTTTCCCCAAAAGCCACTCACAGCTATCAAGCCTTTAGTGCCTTTGAGATTAAAGAATTTGGCTCCGAGTCACCTGGTTTTGAGAAGAAAGGCATCCCAGATGATCTGTGATCACAGGAACTTCACACTTGGACAGTTGGAAGCTGGCTGTTGGCCTGCGATGAGCTGGCTTCTCATCGCAAAGGTAGAGCAGCTCCTCTCTGGCCATGTCTTGTGCAGCAATGGCTGCCAGCTGCTTAGGGGACAGAATTGAATGAGAGGATCAGATCTTTTCTGTTTTCCTCAGAATTATGTCCTGCATGTGGGAGAAAAAGCAACAGAGTCAGCAGAGAACGCTTTCATCCAAAACTGGGAGACAAGGTAGACACAGAAGAAGGACCTTTAGGTGACGGAAGAACGAGTAAACCTGTTTTACTAGTGATGAGGAGGAAGGGAGAGAAGGTGGAGGAGGAAAGAGTGTGGAAATACAATAGGAAAGGTAGATGGTGGAAAACAAAAGATAAGAGGCGGCACAGAGGAATGTGCATATGGCAGGATGGAGGACAACCAGCGACAAAGAAATAGGAGCAGAAGGAACAGGATTGTGGGGAGTAGGACAAATGTTCATTAAAAAAAAAATCCCAAAGAGTGGGAAGATGATAGCAAACTGTAGATAGAAACAAGGAAATACAGGTGGTATGGAGGTTGGTAGATTTTTTTGGTTTTAAGAGCATGAAATAGAAAAGAAACAGTTTAATTTGAACCTCTGTTCATTGCACAGCTGTGGGGTTTTGGGGAAAAAAAGGTAACTGTTTTGAATGTGTTGGTACTGCAGGCCAATCTGAATTAAAAATTTAAGTAATTTGAGGAAAAGCGAGACTAAAATATACTCTTTATCTCCATGACTGTGCCTAATGTGAAAAATTTGCTATTGAAAAATACCAGTGTGATGGCAACTGTGCTTGTACAAGCCCATGCAAAAGGATTCTGTGCAGCAGAAGTATCTCATTTAATTTTTTTTTTATTTAAAAAGGTTTAGTAAAGGCAGGGTTACGTTCAAAAATTTATTTCTAAGGTACTGTGAAGGTTAGTGCAGTACGTCTTGGTTTATTACCAATTAGCTATGAAATGCATTAGAGCATTTGCAGACAGTATGCAAGCTCGCATTATTCTATATATTATTTATCAATCTTCTCCTATTACAAATAGATCTGTAATCAGAATACTTTCTTCCATAGCGTGAAATCCTGTGGTGGTTTCTTTTGGGGGGGAGGGGGCAGTGTTTTTTCTTTTAAAGAAGGGGCTGAGGAGGAAAGTATGCCTGTGGCCAAGAGTTCTGGTATATTTTTTTTCCACAGGGACCATATACGTTCTTCCATATTTTTCACCAGTTGTCATAAATGTTCTGAATTAGGTGAAGGTGGCAAAATAACTAGAAATAAAATATGTTTTAGGAATTCATCTGGGATGGATTTTTTAATTCCAAACTTTCACAGAGCAGGAAAATGCTTTTTGTGTGTTTGTCACTGCCTGGGGATGCCTGATAGGTCTGGTACTGTGTTTGTACTCAAAAAATACCTGATTAGGTTGTGCGACATTGCGAGTCACCGACTGCTAGTATTTTCACATTTTGAAGTGAGAAGTTTCATTCTTCAGCTCTGCTAAACCGCCTGTGCCGTATGTTTAATCATTTGGTTTCACTGTCAGCTCGAACTGATAGGAGGCTGCTGGGGGCGTCAGCCTTGACTGCATCTTCCCACCTGTGGTTTATGCTGGCACTAATTACTGCAGGGCTGTATGACAAGTCTGGTCAGCTCTCTGATCTGACTAAAATGAAGCCTTAAGAAAACTGGGTTTATCCCCATTCTGTGTGGCTGCGAATACTGACACAGAGGAGAGGATGGGAATGTCCATTTCAGGTGGGGAAGGCTAGAAATGCTTCTTACTGTTTTAGTTTTGGTTTGATTTAAGCCAGTTGTAGCACAGCACCCTAGGGCTAAGATAACTTGAGTTGAGCCACGGTTATGAACAAAGATACATAACTGCAGTGGTGTACCTTTCACAAATCATGTTGGTTTGCTCCTGGAAACGAACTTCCAATTTTTTTTTCCCCTTTTTACATTATTTCAGTAACTCGGAAAAACTAAGCTATAGGACCTTACTCTAGAAGTTGTTAAAAAAATCAGACTTAGTTCATGTATTTTATTAGCATCAGTGGATGTGACTTAAATTGTGGCCTTGGAAGTAGCGGTCTGAAAACCAGAACACAGCTACAGAAATTATTGAAAGAAAATAAACAAGAGGAAATACGGGGTTTAGTACACTAAACTTCGTAGACTTCTTCCTAGGCTTTCTTACCCACTCGCCTAATATCCTTACCTGCTCGGTTCTCCATTTTGATTCTAGTCAAAAGATGCACTTGTGTTGATGTAAGCGGACAATTCCTGTTGACTACATGTCTCAGGTGACTCAAGTCAAAGGAATTCTAAGAGTGGAGGCATTTGTCTCTCCAGATCTCCATTTCATATGATATATAAGTAGCATGTGTCTGCAACTTCTTCCTCTTCACAGTCAAGTAATGCTGCCTCATGGATGTCAGCCAGATCAAAAATGGAGGTCACTTTTTTTTTTTTAGGCTCATGGCATATCAAGGTTGGCTCTGCTTAGTGTGGAGATCATCTGCCACTAAAAATCTTTAGAACATATGACAAATAGATGCGTAGTCCTCTTAAAACATAAACCTGAAAGGTACTCAGTACGCCTGTGATAACGCTCCAGTCAGTCTTCTGGATTAAATCCTTGGGTTAAGAAGAATTCTTGGCCCGTAAAGCAGCAACTTGTTGAACTCCGTGTGTGTGTATATATACATATAAACAAAAATTAACTTTCAAATAAAATTTGTTCCTGCAGGGTTAAAGCCTAAGCAAAGTTTTCTATCTGCAAGCTCAACGTGGTCTTTGAAAACCAACTGTGAGGGTGGTTTTTTGTTGGGGTTTTTTTTTTTTTTTTTTGTTTAGCATGTAATTACTGGCAGTGATGATTCTGGAAACAACTTAGTTGGCAGTATTGTTGATGAAGAATAGAATATGGTTGGCTCTTCAGCTATTATTCCCCAGGCTGATGTCAATAAATATCCATTTTAATCAGCAGTAAAGAAACTTTGGCTGGAAAGATATGATGAATGTCAGATCTTGATAATGTGAAGCAACAAAAGAGCTTTTAAAAAGCTTTTCTAACCGGCACCAGACTTATCTTTTTGATTATATAAGCAGGATTTCTTCAGTGTTGTGTTGTTCAGTGCTAATCATGGAATTACAGATTCACTCTCTTTCATATGCTGTATAGAGTATGAACCAAATGAAGTCAAATACATCAGCAGAGGCTGTAGTGGTTATACATGGAAAGGACTCCTGAGCCAGACCCTGTATGTCGACGAAGAGGAGCCTCTTCCCTTCGCTGAAGGCTGTTAGTGCTTTGCTCTTGGCACTCTCCCACTCTGATGTCTGCCTCCATCAGGCTGCCCAGTGTAGGGAGTTGCATTGCTCTGCTTGGTTTGAGCTGTAGCTGCCTTGTCCTGACTGTTACTCCTGTTTTTTTCCTTTATTTCGCCCTCCCCGCTGAGGTTAGGGAGAATTAGGAATGTATGTCAAGAGGTATAGCCTGTGTGTGCTAAAGATTGTATTTACCCTTCAGGTTCTCTCTTTAAACTGGTTGTTTGACAAATACGACCTAATTAAACTAGCCACTCATTTTCATGAAGTGTCATACCAGTTAAGTGAATGAGTACTATGGTAGGCTGAGAATTGCGCAGTGAATTCTTCAGCTTTTGACAATGGAAGCATCCACATTAGTGTGTTCTCTCCTTTACCAGCTATAATGTATTTCTAGAAGGTCTGTTTGTCTCCCTTGCTGAGTTCTGACCCTCTCAGTTGTTCCACTCGATTGCAGCATTCATAATGGTAGAGCTGTAGCACACTTCAGTGAATAAGTCTGCCTTCATGGATTGATAACTTTAGTACCACATTGGATAGCATTTTCCTTTGTAGGACGGTGTTTAAAATTTCATGAGGTGGAAGCCATGACTGTTCACCCTTAAGATTGATTATGTAGCAAGCTAGTCTAAAAACTGCCTTTTAATTACATGTGCTGGAACCAAAGAATTGGTTACGCAAACATTGTCACGGGCATACTGAGTCTGACAAAATCTACCTTGCTCCATGTCCTGATTTATGCCCTGGGCAGTGGTAGGATGGAAGTAGAATCAGGACAAGTACAAGACATCTTCACCTGGTGTTGTCTGTTTTATAGTATATGAAAATAATGTAGTGTTTCTATAATACATGATGGCTTAGGGATTCCCAGAGCAGTAATTGGTATATAGACAATTCTGGTTGAGTGTTTGCTGTGACACCTCTTGGTGGTTGCCAGAAATGTAAGTCTGTGTTTTGACTTTCCAGTAGAATTCCTTCGTCAGCAGTCGCAGGATGCCCTGCTGTGCTGTTTCACGGATATATCTGCGCAATAAGATGCTATGTCTGTGAATATCCGTAGGGCTAACCTTTTTTCTCTTACCCTGAGTAGTACTCAGCAGTCTGTATGTTCTTAAAGATGTTAACGATAAATGGGAAATAATATACAACACATTGTTACGAAGGGCTGCAGTGAAATTTGTCTTCACATGTTTCATTTAAAATATTTTTGTGTTTTAAAAACCTATGTTTCCTGTTAAGTTTTTCTATAAATAAGAGCGCTGGTGGGGAGTGTGCAGCCAGAAATTACCATGTATTTATATGTTGTGTGCCCAAGTTTGGGTGATGAAGCAATTTAGTGTCTCAAGTGTTCATCATGTCCTGGAATGTTTAGATTATTAACATTGTAAGGGATAGGCTTAAGTACAATTTTTTTATTACAGTTAAAAATGCTGAATTGAATGAGGCTATCATGACTGTTACTGTGACAGCTTTCCAAGAAATTCTATAGTATCACTTTGTACTATTTCATGCAAAGATGAGGTAACAGCTAAGGTAATAAACATTCCTAGAGACTTTTGTAAGATTACATTTTATTAGTTTATTTGGCTGATGAGAAGGTAGTTTTCACTATTGTATAAAATAAATGCTTTAAAAAATGTTGATACCATTTGTCCTCCCTGTTTTAGAAAGAAAGCTTCCTACTTACTGTAAATAAACATGGATTTTTGCAGGTCTTGGGCATTCTAATTTCTTAATGTTTTTCAGCTCTTCGAATGGATATCAGATTCTGTCTCTTCCAGGTTTTTCTCAGCTGGCGGCACCTTCTTAAGCAGTATAAGAACTTTGATACTAGCCATCCTCTGCCCTGCATATTTCTAATGTTCTGAATGTTAAGATGTCTCTAATCATACAGATACTGGATAAAGCTAACATCTACCAAAAAGATTTCAGTTATTGGCACCTTCATACTTCATTTGCTTTTTACTTTCTTTTCTTTTTCTTTCTCTTCATGCTAATCATTATCTGGCTATGAAAGGATGTCGGCTCATCATTGGGGGAAGGCTTTTGCGAAAAGGTGGGTTTTGCGGTGTGTTCCAAATATAGCTGGTCTTAGGCTCAGTCCCTCACAGTAAGGTCTTTCACAAATGGAGATGTTTTAGTCCGTTCCCTTCTGGGTTGATTAATAGCAGGGTGGGGCTGGGGGGAGGAGGAGAATGCTTTTTTTTTTTTTTTTTTTTGAGAGAGAGAGGTTGTCATGTTGACTTGAAAATGGATAGTTTTTTAGGGAAGCCTCCTACTATGTGCAAAAAAACACCCTTTAAACTATTCAAAAGATTTTGGAATGGAACCTGATGCATGCTTAGATATGGAAGAAAGTGCTTTCTTGTCATGAGTGGATTTCAGGAGACTTTTCTTTTAAAAGATGGTGATTGGCTAGCCTGAAGCTGCACGAAGTAGCCAGTCTCCTTGCTTCACCCCATCTGCAGTATAATGGTCTTTCTTTGCATGAAGACAGGTATTTTGGGAATCCCTCAGCTATGGTGAGTGTCATGAACAAGTGTTATGCTTACACACAACTTGTGGCCAGGAGATACAACTCACCTACCACAATGTATGGAAACTTACTACAAATAAACACATGCTTGTTTTAAATCTGACGTTTCTAAGGCAAACTCCTATTCTTGCTGAAGCCATATGAATGTGGACCTGGGAAAGAAGCCTGTAATTGAACAGAGTCTTTGGGAGCCAGGGGGTGAGGGAGGCAAAATCTGCAGAGTTGAGGGTCTGCTTGGGAAAGGACAAATGACCTGCATCTCAATTTAGAGAGCAGAGGATGCTATTACTGTTTTTCTGGGTTGAGATTGGAGCTGTTAATCTGTTTGCTGAGGAAGCTACCCTGGGAAGTAGCTGAGTACAGCCAAATGCTATACAAACCAAAGCGTGACTTGAACTTTTCTTGGACCATCTATATTTTTGCTTTTTGCCTACACCATTTAGCTTTCCATCTACCTATCATGGCTTCTTGAAAATTATTTGGGTGGGAGAAACACTTTTACTCAGTTTTGAGTTTATGCTTTTTAGTATTGTATGCTACCAAGCCCTCTTCCTTCATTTCCATGAGCAAAAGAAAATCCATGTTGAAACTGGGAAGCCGTTTTCTGCAGTTTTTAGAAAGCTTGTGTTCTGTTCAATGCAATAATCTTGTATTTGACAGAGGAAGGACCTGCTGATAGACTTACGTGAAGTGAAATAAAGTCCAAATTAGATATGGTTGCAAATGGACAGATTTCTACAGAGCAAAACACGGCTATGAGCAAGTCAGTTGGAGAGAACTGAACTGCTTAGGAACACACAGTTTGATACTCAAAAACCACAGCTGAAAAAGGCCATATTCTTGAAAAGAAGTAATCTGGGTTAGGGTAGAAGTGCAAACCTCCGTACAAGGAGATTGTGTTAAATTTATCAGTGCTAGTCCAAATAAATTCACAGCTGTTAATTCCTGCCTTTAAGTGCAAAGCTAGAAAGCATGAAAAAAATTATAGGACACAAGAAGTCATTCCTCAACAGAGGACAGCGAAGCTCTCAAGGTATTTTAACTGGGGTGGTTTACTATGTGGAATAGAATTTGTTAGTGTGACAGAGTCTTTCTTTTACCTAATATTGTTTATCTAAGTAGGATGTGAGTAAGATCAGGTCTGAATAACCTGTACACAGGTTCTCTTGTTTAGGAATACATGGTACCTGATGCCCACATCTCAACTGCCTCATAAGCTAGCTCAGGTCTAACACAGTTTATAAGTTCAAGCACAAGACAGCACCGATGCAGATACTCTGTTTTCGGGGTCAGCTGTGTGGTTCAAAGGCGACCTACTTGTTGAATCTGTCTGCTGGAGGGCCTAAGCAAATAAGCCCTGCTTGGAGGCAGGCTGGCTCTTGCTGAAGCCAGCTTGTGTGCCTGTGCCACATGCCCAGGTGTGAAAGAGCTATAGTCTAAATAGTCCTGATATGATTATTTTTCCAAGGTAGGTTATCAACTCGGTGTAGTGCAGCTGTATTCCTGCAATGCTGTACTTGAACTAAAAGTGAACCTTCCTCTAATGTATCCAAGAAATATCCTCTTGGCCCTGTACAGAACATCCTGGTCTCTGATCACTGGGGGGTAGCAATGTAGGAAGATGTTAGCATCTAGCATCAGCAGTTGCTGCTTTTTTCTAGTTGGTCTGAATAATTTGACACTAGAAGGTACCAAAGGAGCTGACAGAGAAGTTCTCTGCATTGTGTGCTGCAAGGTTTGTTAGAAGTCAAAGTTAAGGGAAGTGTAGAGGCATTGCTGTGCCAGTACATACAGGGGTAAATAAGATGGCCTGAACAACCAGCACCAGGCTGGCGTTAAGGGCATGCAAAACTGCAGCTGTTGATACAGGATTTCACTGGCTTTAGTAGTTCTTTCAGCTGGGTTACTGCTCTTGACCTTCCTCTTGAGAATTATTGATTGATAAACATTTATCCAGTTGTTACAGTCTTGAGATATTACTGAGAACAATGAATGGTTATCAAGCATTGACTTTTTACTGGATCTTGTTACGGGTGTGCTTCTTGTTCCTGTGCTGGTTATTAGTGGTTTGGAAGAAGTGTATACTATTGCTCCTGAAAACTAGGATAAAGATTACTAGAATATTAAATAGGGCAGGATGGGCCAATCATGGGGAACACGTAACCTACATGTGAGGAAACTCTGCATTTCACTTCAGCCAAATGTGAGATCATGTGTGTAAGGAACCAGGAATGAAAGTCATTACGTGTGGTAAGGGAATGGGAAGCAATAATTCTTAAAGAGTTAGGGTCAGTGCTGGGTGGTCAGATACAGATGGCCTTCTGCCATCTGATACAGATAGCCAAGAAGGCTACTTCTGTCCATGTAAAATCAGTGGAGTGTTGAACAGAAGATGCAGTCTCTGTGTTTAGTCCTACTGCACCTGCTGTGGGTATGGCATGGCCAGTTCTAGCATAAGCCCTACAAAAAGATGTTGGAAAAATAGGAGAGGGTTCTGAAAAGAACTATAAGAAATGTTTCCTTGTCTTTAATCATTCTTACAGCAGCCTGTTTAGGGAGCTCTCTCTCTCTCTATATATAACTTATTAAAGGGTAATGTGATCATAGTAATTAAGTACCTATATGGAAAGTACAAATCTGGTGACAATGCAGTAGCCAGGCAGTACAGAGAAGCTAAAGCCAGATTGATACTAAAACGTTATATGCACCACAGTGTGTGTGTAAGGGCTTAAATAGTAACTATTGAAATAATTTTCTGAGAGTTGCCATAGACTTCTATCAGTAGTATTTCTTAAATGAAATGAATGTGTTTTTAAAAATAATTTCATCACAGCTGTTGCACTCAAATTAACAAACCAAGGAACTTAAGATGCCAGAGTATATGGTCACAAGGTTACATCAGGTTATTAAATAGAGTGTGAAACTTGCCAAGTGTCATGCAAGCATGGATTTGTTCATTTGTGCCTGTACCATGGTTGTTAGCTCTTGAGTTATGATCTCACATCCTTATGCTACAGGGATTTTCAGACTGAGTGTTGCTGTATGCCAGATTTTTGGTTGTCCCTGCTGGGTTTCAGGAAACGTAATAGTAGAAGAGCAAGATCGGGGATTTCTGTGATGACCATGAATTTAGTGTGTCATCTTCTGCGTAGCCAGACATTTGCTCCACATTTGCAGACTACTGAGCTTTTCTAACTAGTACTTTAATTAGTGAAGTTGGTGTATAGACCTCAACCATGAGTTGAGAACGTGAAGGGACCTGCTCTTTCATAAACAGGCTGTCAGGAAATGAAAGAATACTTTACTGTTATCTTAACCATGTGATCTAACAAATAAAGACTATTATAGGTATGATATATATATACCCAGTCATTTTTACAATTAATAGCTGTTCAGAGAAACTGAGTGAAAGGTACTTAACAGATTGCAGACAGTATCTCAGATCTCTGTAACTGCTGCTCAGCCTATTAATATCTGAGGTTTCTGTACATTAGGTAAGATTTCTTCCCTTGTTCTCCAGGCTGTCCTGGGTGTTTTGAGTCATGAGGTTTTGTAGGAATAGGAGTCTAGTGTAAGAGAAAAAAACCCTTTTATTATTTTATCAGTAGTATTAAACTGTCAAATATGGGTGAACATTTTACTGTGTGTACTTTGGAAAAGCTTTGTTCGTGTCTCCTTTCCAAAGGCTTTTCTGGTCTAGTTAGGCACAGTAATGCAAATGGGAAATAATATCAAACACCTCCATGTTTCATAACTGATTTAGCAGTCCATGTAAGTTACTTGAAACTGCTCAACTATTGCTGCAGTTCAGGTTGTGTTTCGCTTGGTCTTTACCAGGTGATTAAATGGATACTGTGTTATGAACTGGGAACCTCTTTATTGCCCCCATCAGAGCAAAGTTCAGTGTGAATCTGAAGTTTGAGTTGGATCCTTTGAAGAAACCTTCAAAGGAGTTGCTAATGTTTTTGAATGTTGTATGCTTATCATTGATGTGTTTTGTCTTTATTTCTTAGCCTTATCTGTGTATGTTTTTATTGCAGCACACGTCCCATGGAGAAGGACGGCAGGAAGTTTCCTCTCGAACTGGGCGCTCTGGAGCTCGCTGTAGGAACTCTATAGCTTCCTGCACAGATGAGCAGCCACATATTGGAAACTACAGACTCCTTAAAACGATTGGAAAGGGGAATTTTGCAAAAGTAAAACTGGCAAGGCACATCCTAACTGGCAGAGAGGTAAAGTGGTATGGGTGTAAACAGTAGTGAATTGCAGTAGGTGTGAAGGTTCTTTTAGAATAGCATCATCTAAGTCTGTGAACATTTAGCACATTTTACTCGAGGTACTGCCACTGATGTAGAAAAAAATATAAATGGAAAAATATCTTTTTTTTAGCAATGATTACAAAACAATTTCTCTTGAAAATGGTCTCTTAAATTTGTATTTTTGACAAGTCCCTGTCCAACTGCATTGTGTTCAAGTTTGCTACTAGAATTCTCTGCTAAATCCTCCATTCCCAGAAAAGGGCTCAATATACAGCAATTAAATAAGCTTGCTGGGAAGACTGCCTCTTGGTGTCTCTATACTGCACAGTGTAGGGCTGTATTGGAGGGGAAGTTAGGAATGAGAACTAATACATCTTCTTGATTATGGTCTGAATAGCCCAAAGTCAGTATTTTCTTGCCAAAGCAATGTATCTCCCAGGAGATCTGCTAGTGTCTGCAGTGCTGGGCAGCCTTGGGAAGACACTCCAGTTTGTTCAGACCTGGTTTGTGTGTCTTGCTCAGTGTTGTATGGTGTAGACAAGCTTTCTCTTGTATCTGTTCATAGTGTCTAACTCAGTTCCATAATTAGTTTCTGCATGCCATTGCAATGTAATTAATAACTTGCATTTAATGATGGTTCTGCTTTGGTGACCTATAGCCCTGTTTGCTTGTTACAAGAAGGTGTTACTTGGTGCTGTTTTGTTAATAGCAGCTCTAGGTACTGAAAGAGGGAGAAACACTTTGTGGACCTTTTCTTGCCAAACCTGTCTAATGAAGTAAATGTTTGCTGATACCAGCAAGGACTTTTAAAGAAAGCTGTGTGGCTGACTGCAGTGCTTTAAGGGAATTTCTTTTTTCTAAGCTAATAGGGAGTTCAGTAGCACTAGGAGGAACAGAGGGGATGTCATTTTGCAAGAGTTGTTGGGAGGGTTTGGGGTTTTGGGGTTGTTTTTTTTTAAGCTGACAGTTCCCGTGGTCAGCAGTTGTCTTCTGGTGTTAAAGTAAGTGCTCGTTTGTAGACAAAGATTTTGGTTAATTGCTTTCCACTCTTAAGTTCCCTCTGCTTTTTACTAATACTTAATATAGGAAATCCAAGTACCTGATTAGTATTTCTTTGCTATTATTACAGGAGTTGGAGATAGGTATCATGTGTCACACATTGCTTTGCAAAAATTGAAGTACGTTTTCTTTTACTTGTACATAACTGTGTGTTGACCTCTGCTTCATTATATTTGTTTGAAATTTCAACAAATAAACTGACAGTGTAAAATCTTTGGCCAAATTTAGAAAGATTTAAGTGCTAAGTTTCTTTAACTCTCATGGAATAGATGTCATTCAATCAGTTCAGAGCATAAATCCTTTCCAGGATGTGGCCACTGGTCCTGCTTACCTAGAATGAGTGGCCTTCCTTTGAAGGGAACAATTAAGCTGGTTTTATAGGAATATCTTGAAGGTATTTTAAACTTTTTTGTTTTCTTTGTAAGAGGGATGGGTAAAAGTTTCTCTTCTTGCTAGGTGAACTGTACAGCACTGATAATAATTACATTTTAGATGTGCATGACCAGAATTATTCACAATATTCTGGATAATAATTTCCCCAGTGTCATTAATATACCCTTACAGAAGTATTTATCTGATTGATCTTTAGATTGTGCTAACCTTTTTCATGGCTGTCACATTGATGTTTTTTGGTTTTGATCAGGAACAGCACCTTGTACTTTGTTGAATTTTGCTTTCTTTGCTAACTCATCTTCAAGGTTGTTTATATCAGTTTTCCATTATATTTGATGGTGCCTCTTAACTCCTTCAACAGACTTAATCATTATGGTTTGACTTCCTGTGCCAAGGCCACTGATACAGATATTAAGATTGGTCCCAAGTCTTGTCCTTGAAAAACTCTCACTCATTTATTTCCAACCTGTTATCTCTTTAGCCATTTTTTTTTAATTAAAAAAGCTCTGTGCACATTTCAGCTTATCTAGTTCAGTAATTTCCATGCATCCTCCTAGATGAGGCTTTAGAATAGTCCAGATAGTCCTATCTTGTGGGTTTCCATAGGGCACAATTAACTGTAGGAAAATATGTTGCATTTAACGCTTCTGTCTGTTTCCCTATTTTTTCCCTGCAAGTTTCAAGCTCAAGAATTTTGTGGTAAATGGCTCTACTAGGAGAAAAAAGTCTGATAATTTCTAAACCTGTGCTGCCATTTTGTTCTTGATGGATGTTAGAAATCTGTGCTACAAGAATGCTTGGGCTTTTTTTTTTTCTTTTTTTTTCTTTAAACCTGCCACTCTTAAGAATTCTGGGATAATGTTCTCAGTCTGCCCTCAGCCAGATGGCACTCATCTTCCTGAATTTGTGACTTCCTGCTTTACACACTCATTCCTGCTGGCTGTCCTGTCTTTGTTCCTATTCTTTTTTCCATCTTACGTATCAAAACCTAAAATAAAATGCTTAGTTTCGGGAGTCATGCTTAAATGAATTTTCATCTCTACTGTATCCTTGCTGTATTTGAACCCTACTTACCTTCTCCTTGTTATCTATGTAGCTAGTCTTAATGTTCTTTTAAGTGTCTGGTTCAACTGCACTTTATCGCAATTCCTTCTTTATATATCTCCACTGATTAACTTCTAAATCATGCAGCAGATCAGCACTTTTATGTCACTTCTTAGGAGGAGGGTGTGTTTGTTCAAGCGTTATTCTAGGGTGGTTGCTCATCTGCTTACATCTGGAGTCCTTCCCTATGAATTTTCCTGTTGCTTGAGATACAGCTTTCATGCTTCCAACTGGAGTTAAGTTCCAGGACACTCTTTCATTTCCATCTTTAGTGTATCTGCAGGATGTATGATGAGAGCCCAGCCTCAAATTACAGAAAGGGAGAAATGTTAAGCCCTTGGGGGGGTGATCAGAACATCAGCCTAACTTTTGAGGGGCTTGAATTGTCCTGCCAAGGAGCGTGTGGCCTTCTGCTCACTGCAGAGGTATGGAGGGAGGGTTAGCTTCACTGCACTAGAGCTGGTGTTTGGAAACACACTCCTTTGAGATCCTCTGTCTAGGAGAGTATTATTTGTAGTCTGTCTGCCCTTTCGAAAGCAAGAATCTTCATTGTAAATCGTGCTTTTGTTAATTCTTTGATTTTTCCAACAGAAAATACATAGCTTAATTTCTCAAAGGTTATTTCCTCTGACAAGTTTTCCATACTTGCCAAAACTAAACTAAAAGGTGAAACTACCTTTTACTGTTACTGAGGTGGTCTGAATCACATCCGAAAAATATATGGATCCTTCTGTTCATTAAAGGCATGTGTTTAGTTAATAGCCAGGAAGTTGAAGTTTCCTAGTGAGACAGGATTCTTTCAGGATCCAAGTCTGACTCCAAGGAATCTATTGTCATCTTCTTTCTGTGCTTCCCTTGGAAAAAAATAAATTTAAGAGGGAGAAAACATTCTGAACGGTATCAGTTTGGCCAATTTGCTCAGTGTCTCAACTTCTGATTGCTTTCACTCCTTCATTCAAGTCATGTAGGAGGAGTGTTTTAAGACATGTTATTGTGATCAGTGAAAGCAAAGTTAATTTTAATTCTACTAATGAATTCACATAGAATATCATGGCTGATGCAGTGGTGTAACAGTGTAGGTGGTCTTGCATTCCTCCAACATTGGCCATAGCACACATTACTTGAAACCGTTCCAGATTCCCTTGTGTAAAGAGAACAAAGTTTCTGCTTTGGAAGGCAATTTGATGCTTTATTAACTATGCTTAGTAAAACGGAGGATTTTCTTTCTCAGGCTCATTAGAACTATTCTTGAGGGCAGGATCCCTTTGCCTGTGATTTGGAGACCTTATCAAGGCACTTGAAGCTGGTCCCTGTTCTGATGATGGGTTCAAGCTCTCAAAGTCAGTGTTTAACACATTGTACTCTCAGTGTTCACGTGGATAGGAATTCTCTAAATTCATCCTGCCTTTAAGGCTATAATTAGTGCACTGAATGGGCCTATGAGCCTGCCTTTCAGAAAACTGAGGTGTGTGCCTTCCCTGTATCTCCAGGGCTGAATTTGTTTGCCAGTGTGAGAGACCTCTATGTTCATCCAGCACCAATGCACAGTGCGAGAGGTGAGCTGTGTTTTGCAGAAACCCAATACCTTAAGACTTTGTGGGTTGAAACAAGTTTACGTCTTTCAAAGATTGACCAGAATGCTACAGCTCAGAACAAAAATGCAACTTTTTCTGAGTGGAATGCACTTACCAAGCAAACAGGGGTCTTCTGTGGCGTGGGTAGTCTTGGGACACCAGGTGACTTTGTCAACAGCAGATAATGTTATTTGAAAGGCAGTGGTCACTCTACATCCAGCATGGATTTATAAGAGATTGCAGGAAGTGAATAACTTTGTTACCTTTGTGACAATAGTTCAATAGGTGTAAAGGTAGAGATAAAAATCTTTCTTGGTTTCATACACAGCTGCTAATATAAAATTACCTATTGCTTAATGTGTTTCTCTTGTTAGTATTTTTGAAGTGATTTCTCAAGGTTTTGCAATGGAATTTCGCCTCAGGAAATAGTGATCTTTAATTTCAGTAGCATACTTTAGAAGAAAATACTCCCCAAAGCAAAAGTATTCTTAGATGGCTTCTACGTCTCATTGTATCTTGCATCTAGCAGGGCTTAAAATAATCTCGAATCTCAGTTTCAGAAAACACCATACCCATCATACAATTCTATGATGCACACAAGCGTTGAACACTGTGTTCCCCTTTTACGCTCTCCATCATGATGATGATCCATCCATGTGTTTTTGCACTTGAATGTAGGGATATAAATTTACTTTGATGTAAGATATTCTTTATTCCATATGTTGTCAACCCCAAGTTAATGACATGACAAAGATAGCACAAAGATATATAGGGAAACAGGAGCTGTGGCATGGGAAGGAGCAGTATCTACTGTTTGAGCCAAAAATTCAAGGGGAATTGAAAGCCCTTGCTTTGCACCAGTGAGGTATTATTATCAGCTGAGTTGCAGCATCTTGACTCTTTGAGAGGCACCATCTTCTTGGCTTCTGTAGAGTTTCTTCTGGTATGTTTAGTCTCTAATTTAGAAAGGAAAAATACCAATTGGCATGTAATTCTAGAAGGATTCCTGTTTCCTGTTCTAACTCATCCTGTATCTAAATGGCATTGCACTGAAGCTTGTCTCTGTTGCCTATTGATTGCCTCAAATTTTCAGGTTATGACTAGTTACCATGGTACTGAATTTCTCTTTTGATTAATTTGTGAAATTTTTATTTTGTTCTTTAATATTTCTGTGCATTATTTACTAAAAAAGATAACTAATAAAGGAATGAACTTGCCCAAATTGTTGTACTATAGCCAATATAGTTGATGCACAAGTGATACTTATTTTCATATCCATCATGGAGCAAATTGATACAAATATTCAGTAAATTTCCAAAGATGAACTTAGTTCTTGCAAAATCTGTGTGGAATTGCTTTCAGTTTGCTCTGAAATCTCTGTTTTTAGAAGCATCTTCACAAACTGCCAGTGCCCAGTCAGTACTGTGTAATCTGTTGTGTTATTACACTGTGTAAATATCTGTAGACACACTGCTCTCTATTGGGGCACTGTCTGGTGTTGGAGTTCCCACTGTTATAAGTGTGGTGGTCTTAACATCAAGCAAAAGACTGAGTGAGCTTCTCGTCTTAATACATTTAAAATACTAGGGTTTTTCCCACTCTGCTGTTTAGTTTGTTGCAGCAGAAGTAAATTACACTTTAGCCATTATTTCCAATTGTTTTTAGTTTAAATACAAGTACATAATTTACTGAAGAAACTTGAATGATTTTTGTGTAATTTTCATGTTTTCCATTTCTGTTACTGGATTTGACCGTCTTGTAATAACGCTGTGTTATTCATATGGAAAATACTGATTATGAACTCTTCCTTTAGGTTGCCATTAAAATAATTGACAAAACACAGCTGAACCCAACTAGTCTACAAAAGGTAGGTTTTTACATTTAATCTTTCAACAGTATTGTAACTTGTTTTATTTCACCACCTTCCATTAACCCCGAATGCCTGTGCTGGAGAATCTGAAGCATTACATACCTTGCACACATCTGACTACTGTATTTAATAACTAGTTTTGTAACAGATATTTTTGACAACCCTGCAGTTGTTCAAGATGAACTCGTACAGAGCTGTAAACTGAGAAAACGGTGGTATTAGCCACTTCCTTTGTCACCAAAGCATAGCTAACTCTGTAGAGAGGGCGTTCATGGTTTGATGTCATACACCCATGTCACATTCATGCTGGTCACTTTGTTAAACTTAGAAATACAAAGCTTATGTTCTCTTAAACTGGCCTTGAAAATACTGCCTCTTGACTGAAGGCCAAGCAGTATCTATGCTTTCCATGTAGTTTGCAGCAGGAAAGGTGATGCAGTTTTGTGGAACAAACTGGGGCATGGCTATTCTGGTTTCTTCCCTCTAGCCTCAAATGTTTAATGTGCTGTTACAGTTGTATCGCCTTATCTATTTTAGTAAGTAGTGATAAATCCTACTCTTCCATCAAGCAAGCCAGTCTGCTTCGGAGTGCCTGCAGGAAGTACATTTAAATGTCACTTTTACCTAGGATCTTCTAACTCTGTCCTCTTAAGTACTGCAGTCAAAGGCTTTTTATTTACTTTTGAGTACTTTGATAAAAAAGCCCCTTGCAATATTTCTGTTTGAACTAGAGAATACCCAGAACTTACCTGCAAAGAAAACGAAATAGCATAACCAGAGTAAACTGGAGAATATACACAATAGATTTTATGCAAATATTGAAAAGATCGTGTTACAAGATGTTTTTATCAAAATTAATAGTGCAAAAGTAAATTGGAAAAAACGCACAAGTTCTTACATTGCACGGTTTGGTTGAGAGGCAAAGAATAACCTATAGAAGAAAGGCTCCTTCATCTGAGCAGGTAGCAACTTCCTGCTGACTCTGTAGACTGGGTAAAAGTAGATAATGTGGTTCCAGCTTTGAGAATTTTTTTCAGCTTAATCCCTGAGGTTATTGGTAATTTCTGTGCAAGCAGGGAGGAAATGAAATGCAAATTAGGTAATAAGATGGATTAGATAAAGTTGATTTTGTGTGGCAGATCTGTGCAACTTGGAATACCTGAAAAAATGGTTAAATGCTTGAAGCACTTGGAAGAGAAACAAAAGCTGTGTGATATGAAAGGGAGGGGTCAGGGCATGGGAAGAATGGTCAGAGAAAAGTAGAGAGGCCGTGTTTTCAGACAAAAATGTAAAATCTTAATCCTTTGAATGGTGTTATCTTGAGATTGGGCCGTAATGCTAGCTTGAGCTCATATTAAGGTACAAAGCAAACCTTTTATAAGTCACGGGTGTTCAGTTGGCAAGGCCACTGGGTGGACACAAGGTGGAAGTACACTTGTTGGCCCTTTGGTTCCTGGGTTTCAGCCTGCTCAGTGTCCACTGGTGTCTCAGTCTCTGTTGTAATTTCATTTTTGTTTACAGTTTATAAATTAGATTATAAAGTGTGATTTGTAAATTGGTCTTTTCTACCACTGGGTTTCTTAAATGGGAGTCTGGAACAATAGTACAAAATAGCAGGGTAGAAAGCAGATCAATTTTGGGGAGTGAGATTGCTAATGTGCTCTCCTCTCTAAGCTCGTTTGTTATATGAGCACAGAAAAACTTTAGCAAGATGTGTCAGTGTTCTCAATTCAAAAAATGAAAGTAATTTTCTTAAAATTAAATGCCTCTTTGTCATAGTAAGCAGAGTAACGCACAACACATTAATTACCAATTTTGCTTGATCGAGGCTTTTTTGCAAACCCTTGCCCCTTTTCTCCCAGCGCTGTCAGCAGTACTGTAGCCTCAGTGCATTTGAAGCCACTGCGCACGCAACCTGTAGATGCAGGGGAAGCTAAGATCAAGTGCTTCTGATCTTGTACTTCTGGAGAGAGTGATAAAATATTTGAGGTATGGTGGGGAGGGAAGGGCTGTGCCAAGGAGAGGGTGTAGTATATAGTGTCTCAGCTGCGGTGTAGCTGCATACCCTAGTCATCCTTAGGTGGGGAAACAAATGGTGATTAAGACTGCCGGTTCCTATTTCTTTTTATTATGTCTTCCACACCAATAATACCGATACTGCTGCCAGAAAGAAGTTACCCTTGTTAAGGACTTGCTTTGTTTTCTGGAGCAGTAATTCTTGGTATGCCCTTGCAGTAAGCTACGAGCGGCTGCAGTCTTGACAGCTCAATATTCAGCAGTGCAGCTCTTCAGGAGAGTTGAGTTTCTTGTCTGCTGCTGAGGAAGTCTGTGGTAGCCACATGCAGCTACTCTTAACTGTTGTTTTAGGACCTAATTACTACTCTGCTGCTTTTGCTTAGTGAAGAGGAAACTGTAACCGGTACTTCCCTGGTTTGAAAGAAAAGGGAATTCTTAGAGCTTTTTTTTTCCCCATGCTGGTGGTATTAGTCATAGTCAGTGTTCTCCACAAATGTACTTCTGTACCCAGTTCCAGTGAATATTGGTCTCACTGGAAACAAGTGCTGGTGCTACAGTAGTTCACTTCCTCCTAGCCCCCACCTCCAAATTGTCTGGTTTTTTTCCTTTTGAATTAGCAATGCCATTATATACAAGTTTTTTTACCAAACCCATGTAATAGCACTAAATCACTTCTCATTTTCCTTTTTTAGAACTTGGCTCCTCAGCCAAATATTTTTGTTCATTATGTGCAGATGTTTTGCCACTTGTTTGGGCCATTTTTTGTTAAAGCTTTTTAGAGTTCTTAAATATCAATTTTAACAGGGACCATGTTCTTTCCAACCGTGGATCAGTAAATATTTTAAAAATGGCGAGAAAAGGATGAGAATTTAAAATGCCCAGGCCTTTCAGTTTATAAGAAGTATTTTTTCTGTTTTCAAGTTGTGGTTTGTTTGAGGCAAACTTGTATTGTGTAAAGGTTTCCTGCTTGAGGCTCCTAATTATATGTAGGGCATATTTCATTGAGCAGTTATGAGGAGGAGCCTAATACAGAGGTCAAGCCTAAGCTAGCTTGGGACACCTCATGAAAAGCCCCCCCCTTTGAGGGGAAGGAGGACAGGATATGTTGGTGCTCTGCATCTGACAAATGTACTGACTTGCTTTTTAGCAAACTTTTTCTTGTATTTTTTAAATAATATGTTACTGAAACTCTTGCAATAGCTAATGTAGGAACAATTCTGATCTCTCACTGTGTTCAAAGAGAGTTGGCTTAAAAGACTGGTCGTCTTTTCCCCCCACTCCCTGTTGTTTCGGATGTGTCAGCATAACAAAGTTGAAGTAAAATTGATTCAAGTTCATTACTCAGTATGTGTCTCTGCTTCCATTGCTGATTTGTTGGGGTTTTTTTACTGTTTGTTGGCTAGCAGCATTAATTAAATGTAATTCTTTCCCTGTATCTAACATGGGTTACAGTCAAAGGACCAGACCACAACAAAGCTGAAAGCCATTTGTTTGGCAGACTAAGGATGTTTGTCTTTGTCTTTGCCTAGAAGCATTTGTAGAGCTCCTGTTGACGGAAAATGAGCTGTTCGACAACTTGGGAGTAGTTTTTAATCTCAGCATTAGAAATTAAACTGATGAGCACTGTTTTCAGTTGATTGTCTGCCTTTATGGTCTCATTATAACAAGTAAGTTCTTAAAACTAAGAAAATCTTCTGTACTGAGACCCTTCACATTACGTCTTCTGGTGTTACACCTCCTGTGTTCCTGTGGCAGAGAACCTCAGATGTGTGGGCTTTTATCATACCTGGCTGTTTGCAATGAATTTTACTGCGTGATGAGAATTACTACTTCATTTGCTAGAAGTTGATGCACATAATATTTGGGGGGAATGAAATCTGGGAAACCTTTTTTCAGCATACTGTGTGAAAGTTATATGATGTTTTACATTGTATTCCTCTATCAAAAACAGACTATAATACAATGTCAAGCATTTCCAGATATCCCTGTGGAAGTTGCTATCTGTGTCAAAATACCACACATAACATTTAAACTGACTAGGGGAGCACAATCTCAAGTGCATTTATCTAACTAAAATTATAATAAAGAATTCGGTGGTGGTTGTATCCTATTCTCAAGTATTTTTATTTTTTATTTCCTCTGAGACAAAAATAGTCTTTTTTTAAAAAGCTTGTTTCTAGTCACCCGCTTCAACAAATGGCTCATATGTAGAAGCTACTTTTTGACATGCTTCATTCGGGTTAGTAATGCAGAGTAGTTGTCCTGTGGACCAATGTTATATTTAGAGCAGCCCAAAATGTATTATGAGCCTGACTTTATTACATTAGACCATCAAAGTGTACAGTGTACAATGGAGGAAGTAGCTAGCTCCAGCCAAGTCAGCGTACTTCATTAAAAAAAAAAAAGAGGAGTGAATATATTCATTTACCTAATGGTATTGTGAATTCTAGCCTCATTTTTACTGTCTTATTCTATATTGCCCTTGGTTGACTGTTGTTGTTTGGTGGCACCAATTATTATTGCCTGTATTCCCATACTTAATCCTATGAAAGGATTTTTTTAAATTATTTTTTTTTAGGTGGGTGAGGTGATGATAAATAGGCTAATGGCTGAAAAACAGCCAAGGTCTTAATCTGTGCAGCAGTGGAGTTGCCCTTGATAAGAGTCTGACCCAGCAGGCTTTATCTGAGTATTGGGGGTGGAAGATACCAACAATCAGTTGAGAGTGAATTAAGCAAACTGTCTTCAAAGCTTTAAAAGCTGACCAGAGGCATTCAGTTATATCAGCTGTGATTAAAAGTATTAATGGAGTATTCAGAATATTTTATACACCAGTTCAGCTGAACTGAATGAAAAATAAGAAAAAATAGCCATAGATGCTATTGCTTTTAAATTCCTGACGATCAGAGAAAGATGGTGAAGTAGTCTACCTTGTCTAAGTATATATGAAAAAGCTCCAGAAATAACACAGCTTTTAAAAAAGACAATTTACTTACCTCTCTGGGGGGGAAAAGAAAAGATGCATGCATAGTTTTTGACACTGTATTTTGCGTGGCCAAAAATTTACTTGATCAATCAATCCTGATTGCATTTAAGCAGCTTGTCATCTAGTGAAGTGTCAGGCATAGACCTGGATAATGATAATAAGATAATTAAAAGCATTTGGAAAACTGTTTGGGTTTACTTCTTGTGTTCAGATAGTGTGCTATTCACAGCTGTGGCTGTAGCATGGGGGAGAACATCTGTTGGGTAGTGTGATGAGGATGACTCCCCAAATCTTAGCCTTTAGAGAAACGTCAGAAAGCAGAGAATGGTTAGAACAACTCATCTCCAAATTGTGATTTCCACTACCCTTAACTAATTTATTTATTTATTAATCCTACCCCCACATTTTTCTTTTATTAAAAGACACAAAGGCACATGGATTTTGTTTTGCTGACTCTTTGGTGGTTTTCTGTTTGTTTCCTATGTTTCACTTTTTTTTTTTTGCACTTTTATTAAGTACACCTACAGATTTTTGAGTTGTTAGTAATACATGTAGACATATTAAATGTCTTCACTTTATCTGAAATCTGACCTGAGGCAAATGTTGCAGCAGCACTTTTTGCTGCTTTACTGTTAATAACAATGCTGTTATCTCTTATTTACAAAACTCTTTCTTTTCTCCCATGTCTGCATTCCTGTGGAGCTGTGGACTTTCATTCTGCTTTAGTCGCTTAACATTAAGTTTAATGTGATTTGTTACATTACTGGTGTGCCTGTAGAAGTTGGTGTTGGGTTATAGTAAAACCTCTTAATTACTCCTGCTTTTTGAAGCATCCTGCTAGAAAATAAGCAAGGCTTAAGAACATCAACCCTCTGGAGTCTTGGGCTGGCATGGGAGGAGCTGCAGAGGAAGAACACCTATGCGCTTGACAGCCTTATAGCGTACTGCCTAAAAAGAGAATTCTTTGGGTTTTCCAAATACAATAGTATTTACACTTCAAGTTTATTGTAATAGTTTTTTATCTTGGGTCTTTTCTGGGAGAAGAAGTAGGACTATTTTTACTTTATCTGCTATTAACCAACTTCATTAAAAGCAGCGGTTTATATTGCATTAACAACACCTGTGGCATTTTTAGTATTACAGATTTATGTGCATCTTATAATTGTCTTTTGCAGAAGAGTTTTCAGAGGTGAAGATAATTAACAGCTGATCAGTAATAGACTTTTCTTTCATTTGTGGTTCATTAAATGTCATTCCCATATTACCGTCCAGTTGCAGGAGGACAGAGTTTACTCTGTGTGACAGGCAAAGTTGAACTCTTTGGAAATAAGTATTCAAGCAAAACACTCTTCACATGGGTCTTGGTGTTGGGGTGGGGGGAACAAGATCCTTACAATCAGTATGTGATCTCTGGATGCAGCACCATTGATGTAATGTCATGCTGCAGCTTGAAATGGGTGGTTGTACTCCCTCACCCCCTATCTTGCAAAAATAGATGCGCTGGGCTGGGCAAGGGAGCTGCAACAGAAAACTTAGAGATGGAATGTTTTTATTTGGGGGAGTTGTGTGTTTTGTGAGATTTTTCTGTTGAATTCATTCCTGGACCTTGTGTGTCAGTCTGAGTTAACACCAATGCTCGCATAAAGGGAAGCGGTATGATCCTGTTGCATGGGAAGGTGAAGAGGGTGGGAGCAAGCTGATCCCTTTGAGACTGTGCCCCTGAAGTAATGGTGTTTCTTCTGTCTGCTGGGGTTAGGAAAACACTGTTTGTGTTCTGCCCTATTAATTTTGGCAAGTACGTTCAGCGTGTTGTACTGGCTGAGCAGGCTTGGAGGCTGGATGTCTGGCAGTGAGTCAGTGGAGCTGCAGTGACAAACCCAGGACTACATGCTGCTGTGCCTCAGTTGCCTTTCAGGAACACTTGTGCAATACAAGCAGCTGATTTTTCACCTGTGAGTGCCTGTGGTAGCACGGTAATACTATGGTTTTAACAAAGTACTGAAGAGTGATGCCAGTAACATACTGCAGTGGTCTTCAAAAGGTGCTCTCGTGGGGGTTCACGAAACTTTGGAAGCAGTATTTTCTGTGAAGGGGGTGAAAAATGGTGTGAGATGTACTAGCCGGCAATGAGCTGTGTGATCTCGTAGTGGTCTTCTGGCCCCAAAAGTCTGTGAACCACAGAGCTAAGATCACTTCTCTCCTGAGCTATCTGTAGTGCTTTGTGGGTCTTTTCAGGTTTTTGAGGGTTGATTTGTTTGGGGAGGTGTGTTAAAAGAAGCAGGCCCGTAACTTCCTTCCAGTAAGTGCTTATTTCCGGAACTTCATTGAAATGCTAATAGTAATGTTTGTTGTTTGTGTTTAAGTATATCAAAATGATCAGGCTGTAGGAAGAATGGGTGTTACCTATTTCATTAACTTATTTCATGTTTTATGTTTGTTTCAGCTCTTTAGAGAAGTAAGAATAATGAAGATCTTAAATCATCCAAATATAGGTACATTGTTTCTTTCACATAATTTTCAATTCTGGAGAAATTTTAGCTTTTTCACTGTTAGAATTGCTGTGGTATGATTTTAAAAGATGATTCCGCACTAGGGTGTCAATTTACTGTAAAGTAGCAGTAATAAATACTTTTCAGAGCTGTGTGGTTTTGGTGGGGTTTTTTTGTTTGTTTGTTTGTTTTTTTAAAGAAAAGCCAAACCCCAACATTTTGGTCCCTTTGCACAAAACACTTATTTGCATAGCTAACTGATAGTTTTGCTCCTTTGGAGTGTAATACTGATTTTGACTGAATTCAGGCTCTCATTAAAAACAACTATATACCAAAAATAAGCGGTCAAGAAATTAATCAGGATTGTACATTTAGATGATTTAGTCTTGTTATGGGACTGTCAGCAAACTGACTGATAACTAATTTGTCACCATGTATGCCAGTTCAGTGCATAAAAATGACTATCGCTGATGCTCAAATCTGTGGAGGTTCTGCTTGATTTAGTTGCTTTTCTCATGTAACAGAAGCAAAGTATTGTTTCTTGAGAAAATGTTGTTCTGTATGGCTTGACCAAACGTGCTACAGTATTTTCCATTTAGGAACGTTAGACAGAAAAAGCTTCTTTAGAGTGATAGTCTGATATTGTCAAGCAGCAAGCAAATAGTTTTGTGTTGGGTTTTTTGTTTTCTCTGACAGAATTCTCTGTGGGGTTAACAATACTTCTGCAACTAGTTAACTGATTAATAAATGGCTTTCTTTTCTAGTGAAGCTATTTGAAGTCATTGAAACTGAAAAAACCCTCTATTTAATAATGGAATATGCAAGTGGGGGTAAGTATCTCTCTGCTGTGATGACATAAGTAAACAAATTGCCAAGTGGGAGAAAGCATTTGTTTTCTTTAAAGTTTTGCTTTCTTTTTCAGCAAATATTAATGTCATGGTAATGTGAAATATTAAGCAAAATCCTAAATATTCTCTGGGACTTCTTCGGGCAACGTAATTATAACTTGTAAAACCAGCTTCTGAACTTACTGCAACTTAAATCACATTTGCTTTGTTTTCACAACTCAAATTTAATGGGAATCTTTATTTGGCCATCAATTCTTCCTGTCAGTAACAAATGCCAACCTTCTCAATTTATTGTATTCAGCTCCCTATCTCTGGTGCCCGATTTTGTATAAGGTATTTGGTAAAAACATGTTCAGATGAAACATTTCTGTTTCTTTAACTGTTGCTTTCAAAAGCATGAGTACTGCAACTTTTGTGTTTTAGATGTTGACATTTGACATATCTTAATCACAGACCTTCTACTGTCAAGAATTGTTGGGCTTAGCCTTATGCCATTTTAGGGGGAACTTAAACATTTATTCCTGATTGTAGGGTGGGAAGGGGGAAAAGCGTGCATCACTCAGCGTCAGATATTTTCACCAGAGTTAGAATTAAGGTATTCAGGCTTAAGTTACTCCTTGCTGACTAAAACCTAATAGCACTCAGTTTGTTAATGTGACCCTTTAGCATCCACAGCTGGGGATCTCAAATAGTTGAGGCTTTGCTTTAGTTTCAGGAGGGAGATACAGACACTTCTTTTGAGAGAAAATCAGCATTGAATTCTCACACTGACATTAGGTTATGTGAAGTTTAATGAACTACTATAAATCAAGTAATGATTCTCTACCTGCCTGTGTTTTCTTCTAGCAGCTCCCTAAATGCTCAGCCAAGATATACGTAAACAGAAACAAAGTTGGTAAAATACCATTAAAATAATGGCTAGTACAGGTGTTTGTGTAGGCATACTGTTTGATGGTACTAGACTTAAAAGTGAAGTCCTATTGCCATCTAGTGATTAGCTTCTAGGAGGTGGAAGGGCCAGCGGTTCTCTAAAGCAGCGAGGATCTTTCTTAGGGTAATGGAGAGATACATACTGTACTGGTCTAAAAGGCTCTGAGCAGTACCGTTTGTACATGCCATGTTGTGCAAGACAGGAATGGCTCTTAATCTCAGTGGCAGGCATCAATTTCCCGTATTTCCTCTTTATCAAGATACTGGTCACGCATGATGTATACGAACTCTGTGGCTGCAGGATGAAACTATTACTACAACTGCAATACTTTGCGTAAATTGGGGATAATTCTTTCTCTGGTGTAATTTTCTCTGAATTATGAAGAAGTGTTCAGGTTTGTTCCTTCAAGGTTTTTGAAGAAGCAGCTGTGAAATACAGCCAAGAGGGTTACCTGAGTTGAGTATTAAATAATACGCTACAGAGGGAAATAAGGCTATTTTGTAGAAAATCCTGACATTCCCTCAGAATGTTAAGTTGTTGCTTTGCCCACTGTATGACTCTCGGGTTTTTTATTCCAGTTTGGTGGAGTTGCTTCTGTTCAAAAATAAATGTGAAGTTACTTAGCTCTTCCGTTGTGAGGTGGCTATCTACAAAACAATGATTTCTTGCTCAGTAGAGAATATTTAGACGTTTGATCCACTTCTAAAGTTTTTATTAATTTTGCATATTGGCGAAGAATTTTTAAAACTGTGTAGTAGTCTGTGTTTGTAGGAGTTCTTATGTACATGACTGGTTTTTAGTAAAGAAAATCTCCCGTGCACTTGCAAACATGGGCCAGTTGGCAGCACCTAAAGCTCAAACATTGTAGTCTGTATTGACGTGCTATAAAATGACTGGATTGGTTAAAGGGAAGAAAAACCCCCAAACACAACAGATCTTTATTACTGCTTTAGTAGTCCACAGCCATACAACACTGGGCTTGTTCAGGAGTAATCCTTCTCAGTGTATCTTACAGATCTGATGGTTGTGTGATGGATTATGTCAATGTGTCCTGCTATGCTCATTATTGTGACCTTCCTTGTGGGTACCTCTTCCAAGCCTAGGTTAAAGCTAAGATTTCTGATTTTGGTTAGAACAATTTTATACACGTGCACAAAGAAAAATTCTAGTGCTGGTATGACAATATTTACAAATACCATCAGATGTTCTCATATATGAAGCTTTTTTTTGTGGGGCAAAAGAAACCCCTGTGAGAAAGTCTGTGAAGGGGTACGGGTCATCTTTATTTACAAAACAGAACTATGCTGCTCAATTTCTATCATAAACAATTGGAAGGAAATGTTGTTTGGTCTTTTTCCTATATCCAGTCATTCATTAAGTCTTACTATTTTCTTGTATAAGAGATGATGTAGTAAATTGCAGAGCAGTTGTGCCTTGTTCTCTTGAGCTAACCTGTAATCATAAACTTGAAATACAGTCATTCTAGTGAAGCTGCTGTGGGCTACTGCTAGAGTGGAATCTCTAGATTCTGAAATTGGTGTTAATGAATCTTGTTATTGAATTGTAGGGGAAGTGTTTGACTATCTGGTTGCACATGGAAGAATGAAGGAAAAGGAGGCTAGAGCTAAATTTAGACAGGTATGTATAACATTCCTATACATGAGCTTTCACCCCTTCCCTGGTTTTAATGCTGAAATGAGTAGAATGGCTGTCCTTTGTCTTTGACTTGTTGCAGTGTTCAGCATGTTGTGGACTTGTAGCCCCAAGTGAGAAAAAGCTTGGGTTACCATCGTACTTCAAAGGGGTTAGTAGTCCATTCAGTAATGCTAGTTTCCTTAAGGCTGTGTGCCAGGGTGTCCAGGAGTGGCAGAACACAGTGACTGCTTGATCCAGAAGTGTATTCCATTCCAAAATGCATTTCCTCTAGGTTGATTTCGTATAGCCTTAGTTCAGCTGGTCTGTAGCAGGAAGTTGCTCAAATGTAACAGGCTACAAACAGGCCAGTTTCAAAATGCAGGCAGTGCGTGTAACAGGGATCTGTTCACCTCTATCTGCTTACATGAAAGTACGCAGTTTAATAGTTGTTCTAAAAAGTCACAGAAAAGTAATTTCTAGGCTTGTTAGTTAGCTTTCTGTATGATGGATAAACTAGCCTTGCAAAGTTGTTGGATTTTCATTGATCTGTAAAAAGCCTTTCCATTCTACAGTAAAGCAGTATTGAACATAACAAAATATTTTTGCATAACTAATTTAAATCCATATCTCTGCTCTTGTAGCACCTAGAGTTTCATTTGTGGATCTGACTGGTCTGATATACTTTTTCTGCTCTTATGCAGAAATGCGTAATTGCCCATGTTATTTCCATGCCTTTGGTCACTTGGATAACCTAGGTGATGTTGTGAAAAGTAATAAATATCAAAATTATGCTCCTGCTTAATGACACTTTAAAATAATGAATAGGGAAAAGAGTGTTTTATTGAATGATATGTAGGGGTTTTAAACTGGTAATTTGTGGCAACGACATGACAGTCACTTTCACTCTTGGAAGGGGAGGCTCCAATAGCTTCACTACTTAAGCGTAGCCATACAAAAGTAGAAAAAAATTGATATAATATACAGGAATTCCAGGAAATAAATTAATGACTTTCACAAAATGTCTTGTAAAGAAAACTTTCACACTTCTCTAGTGTGGGTAGTGTGACTGAAAGGAACAATTTGGGAACTAGGAAACTGTGCCACAACTGTTTTGCTCCCTCTGTCTCATATAGTAAGAATTGTGTGAAAGCAATATAAGGAATAAGCTCAAAAGTAGCAATGAAAGTAAGAAAAAATAGAAATGTATTTAAGCCAACATAAGGAAGCAACAAAAGCATTTCTGTGAAATCCCTGTTCCTTTGTTTTCTCTCATCTCTAAATCTTGTATTTACCCTCTTTAATCTTTTGGGAAAAAAAAAAAAAAAACAAACCAACAAAACCACCAAAACCCAAACAAAACAACCCAAAAAAAGCAGCTGCAAACTTCATATCCCCAGAAGTGATTTGTGCTTACTGGAGTTACACAGCTTGATAGTAAGGAAGATTTTTCTTCCTCTTAAACAAAATCTTACATGTCTATTTAAAGCTGCTTCCTTCCCTTTCATATTCCAGCAGGTAGAGAACTTTCCTTTGTGATTGAGAGTTTCTGGTATGTGTTTCTGTGCTGTGTTGGAGTAGATATGATGGGTTGTGGAGCAGTCGTTCCCACTTAAGCCGTCTTCTAAATCCCAGACTGTTGCCTTGCTCTTTGTAATGTCACTTGAAGAGCTTCAGAGTAATTTGAGAGGATTTGCTGTTGTCTCTCAGATGTGAATGTTGAAAACTTCTACTGGTATGGTTTTCTGCTCTTTGTCCTCAGTTTCTTTTATCAGGAGCTGTGTGGAAAAAGATCTTTCAGTAATTCCATTGAAATTGCACGTTTGTTCAGCAATTACCTATTTTTTTCTAGTAATTTGACTCCCCTTTAAGTGAAAACTTGTGGAAACAGGTCAAACATGTTTTACAGGTATGCTTTGTGCTTAATTTTATGGGATAATTTGAGTAGTACAGGATATACATAACTTCATTTTTCAAAAACAAATGTAAAGGGAAAGAATTTAAAAGGTAGTTACCTGCTGAGCTGAGTATTTGACCCATCAAGAGCTGATTTTATGTACTTCAGGTTCTCAGCTTTTTTTAAAATTTTTTTTTGTACTTCAGTAGACTAAATGCTGCTTATAAGGATACATACATGGCCTCACTTGAATCCACTGAAATACACAGAAGTGTTTTCAGTGTTGTCTTGTAAGGCTTGTCTCCTGACACAGGCAGCTGTGGTCTGTCCTCCTTCAACAGCTGACTTCCCAGCTACTGAGGTCAACCAGTTTTAGAGGACCTTGATCTTAAAGATGGGAGGTTCTTGAGAGCTTCAAAAGCATGAGCGCCTGGAAAAAAAGAAGAGAACCCTAGTAATAACCCGAGGAGAGAAACTATGTGATAAACTCATTGCGCTTTGCTAGAGAGAAGAGGATGCACACAGGACAGAGGTCAGGCAACTTTGATCAGAGCTTGGCATTTATTAGACACTAAGGCTCTGGCTGTGGGACAGTGTCAAAGGAAACTAGATCTTACTGGGTTTACAGGTCATAAAACTATTCATTTCACCTTACTGTAGTCCCAGAATAGCTTCATACAGCTTTTAGCCATTGTTGGAGGGAGAATGCTCTCTGTAGAACTTTTATCTGATTCAGTGCAGCTGTTCTTATGTTAGATAGAGACTTATGACATAATGGGGGGGGGGGTATTTGCTAACTGGTTTAACAGACGGTGCCTGTCTTTAAACTGAAGAAACAGTTGTGCCGTGGTATTGAGCTTAGTTCTTACAATAGGTTGTATTATATCTTGTTTTTGGATCATGTTTCTTCTTTCAGTAGATGTGATTTCTGGATCAAACACTCATGTTTTATCTGAGGAGGCTCTTCCTCTCTAGCAGGCAAAGAGCAGAATTTGGCAATTCTCCCCTCTGCTTGTTTAAAAAAAAATAATTTTTTTGGTCCATTTTGTTATGCATACTTAAGGTTTTTAGCAGGAAAACATAACATAAAAGACAGTGATCATGTTATTCTAGTCACGCTTGACAAGGAACACAGGAGAGGGTACAAACACTAAAAATAAAGTCATGCTCTGCAGTTCACCATTTCAAACTCCTTTTGTGCAGCCATGTGTAAGAAATTCAAATCCAGAACGTTTTGCATTCTTAACATCACCTCATTTTTCTTGCCCTGTTACAGGTTTCCAAGCAGTTCTGGTTTGATCTTACTATCCTTTTTCCATAGAATAATGTGCCTATCTGGATAAGAATGCAAAAATGGGAAGCCAAGACTCAGGGCAGAGGGTCTCCTGAAATTGATGTGTCTTAGTTCCCTCTCTCCCTTTACTGCAGCCAATTAGATCTGGCCTGCTTCAGTTTTCTCACTGTTGCCCTGCAGAAGTATTTTAGAATTTTTAATGCTGGTAGATGTTAGGACAGATCTTAGAAAATTAAAAAAATCCGCGAAATACATCTTACTTGTTTCCAGTTAAGAAACAAACTACTTGTGGCGATGTGGAAGGGACCTTGAGAGGTCATTTATCTATCCTTCTGTCATTTAATCCTTATGAAGAATGGTTTCTCTGCCTAGAGATAACTTGTTCTAACTTGTTCTTTAAAACCTGTGATTATACAGATTTTTGAAATCCCTCCCAAGAAACTTATTTCAATGCTCCAATTGTTATCTCTAGCAAAAAGGTCTGCTGTTTCTTCCCCTCTTCTCCCCACCTGCCAAGCGTCAGCAAATTTCTCAAACTGAAATAGGTTGGGGGCGAGGGGGCTGTCAATGGAAACAGTGATGGAAGTTGGAAGACAAGGGAGTGAATGCAGTGCAGCCATGCTTTGTGCTATTTTTCATTGTTATGACTGCTGTTCTTCAATTATTAATGTCATACACATTGCATTATTTCTCTTCCATTTAGATTGGACTCACTTCTGCAGTCTCTGTGCTATCCTGTTGCAATGCAGAGTAGTTCAAAAGCATCTGCAAAGGAAGCTACTGATTGATCATCTGCTAGACCTTCCGCTCTTACGTAGTCAGAGTAAAAGCAGTTTAGGAACAAGTGGTGCAGTTTTGTGTCTGCAGTCCCGAATAAAGCTTGAGGTGTTTGTCATGCTGTCAGCCTTGGAAACCCCTGCAGAGTGAGCTTGTGACTGGTGATAAAGTAATGGTAGCAGAGACGAAAGGAAGGAAAACCAAAAGGTGGTACAAGTGGTGGCGTGGGAGCACTTTGGCGGTTTCAGTAACTGTAAAAAGCTGAACTTGGGGTCTGAAAGAGGGAGTCAGTACGTAAAGGAGCAAGCAAAACCAGAATGAAAGTGTAGGGAATGGAAATATTTCAACTTCTCATAGACTGTTTGGCTTCTAAGGTCGCATTTTGCACACGTGTGATTCAATAATACAGGAGTACAAAGATCAAAACGCTGGTGCTTAGGTTTCGAATGCAAAATTGACTGGTAGGTCAGTTCTTTGACCTGCCAAGAACCTTACTTTCACCTACTGTAAATACTGGGAGAGAGAACCATTGCTCCTTACCAGTACAGGAGGATCCTTATGCTAAGCTGGACAGTCTGATCACAAGTTATTTTTTGTAACAGTAATGATACCTCGTCTTCCTGTGTTGAAAATCTTAATCTTGAACAAAGAATGGAAATACATTTATTTCAGCATAGTTATTACAGTGAATTATTTTTATGTGCAGTTCCACTTCTTTTAAGCAGTCATAACATCTGCCTCAATTCTGACCACGTATCCATGACAATAAAATGTGTTTGACTGCATTTGTGATCATGTAACAAGACTTTATCCAGCTTTTCCATACATGTAGCGTTCTGCAGCAATGCTTACGATTCTAAAGCAATGTATTAGGACATTGTACTGTGTAAATAGCTTATATAGTTCGCTATATAAAGCAGGAAAAACTAAATGATATTTGGAAACTAAGATGGAAGAAATTATTCCATTACACTTGAGAGACAGAGAGAGGTTTTTTCCATTCAGCTTGCTACTCTTGTACAGCATACAACACACAATAAACCATATGCACTTAGCAGACCTCTGTCAGATGCACAGTTGCTTCTCACTGTGGAAGTTTTGACAAACAAGCTGTTTCCTGGTAGTTTCTCTAGTATCTAAGCTTGTTTCTTACCCTTTCTCTCCATGCTGCAGCATGAAAACTCACCTTTGGAGAGGGACTGAACACTTCAGGCTAGAGGGAAAGCTTTTATTGCTGTATACAGTATTGGAATGGAAATACTTCAGTAACCTTTCTGAAAGTCATTGCTTCTGCTGGTCTATAATTAGGCACACAGGAAAAACAAACTCCTCTTTCAAGTATAGTAGAAACCAAATAGATCAAATAACAGACACCTAAGTTATTTAGCAGCTTTTCCTCAAATACACTGGTCAGTATAGTAGTTGGTTACATTGCTCTTGAGTGGATAAGTACATGTCAACTTCAGTAATAAGTGTTGAACTTTTTGATTAAAACTCCTGTTTCTTTGAGATGTCACTTACATAATTGGGCTTGTTTTCTATCCAGATAGTATCTGCAGTGCAGTATTGCCACCAAAAGCATATTGTTCATAGAGATCTCAAGGTGAGTAGGAAAAAGTGCATGAAGTGTGTCAGTGTGTGTCAGCTTCTGTACTTGTGGGTGTGATCTTTATTGTGCTGATAAAATTTAGTGTGTATTAAGCTTTCTGGTTAGTTTATTTTTTTGTGTGTGTTATAGCAAGTTTTGAGGAATGTTTACAGTATAGAACCATTTCAAATAAAAGGAAGAGGATTTGTAAGGCTTTTAAATACAGAAATTTAATGGCTGCTGAAAGATAGCCTCTCACCCTGTAGTCAGATTCAAATCTGATGCAGGTCAGTGTTAGCTGAGAATTTTTTTATTTATTTTTTTTAAGGGTAGTTTGATAGAGGTATGACAAGTTTTGGTCTCGAACAGAATGAATTACCAGTTGTGATCATGCAACTGAAGTATGGTGCTTTGTAGCTTGGCATGAAATGGTATATCCCTTCTTTAAATTGTGCCTGTTGTATTAATAGTGTCACCACATAACTTGTTCAACATATCATAGTTTTGTAACTTAAAAAACAACAACCAAAAACCCAACAACAAACAAAACACTACCACCAAAAAAACCCAACAAACCTCTTGAAAAGAGTTTAAAGGTTATGTATATTACCAAACTTTTGCAAGAATACCACATAAAGTATGGATAGTGAGACTATATCTTGTTTTCATCTTAATAGATCAAAATGTAAATTACAGTAGCTCAGGATGCATTTCTGTGGAGAAAACAGATGGTAGTAACACGGTTTTCAGGTATCATAACAGCTTGCATAGTCTGAAGCCATTGTACAGAGATCTTTAAAATAGGAGATATGCGAATGATAGAGTAAAGCATACCTAAAGACATTGCAAGGAAGTGAATGTTAACAGATATTTCAGCTTTTTGTCTTTTAAGAATGAGTAAAAATGGACAATAGCATTCTAAATCAAGTGTTTTAAGTTCATCTTACAAACCATTCTTTCTATTCCAGGCTGAAAATCTATTGCTAGATGCAGATATGAACATTAAAATAGCTGACTTTGGTTTTAGCAATGAGTTTACAGTTGGAAATAAACTGGACACCTTTTGTGGCAGCCCACCATATGCTGCTCCAGAGCTTTTTCAAGGGAAAAAATATGATGGACCTGAAGTAGATGTTTGGAGTTTAGGTGTTATTCTTTATACCCTTGTGAGTGGATCTCTTCCTTTCGATGGACAGAACTTAAAGGTGCGTTTTTGTAGAACATGTTGGGCATGTTTATCTAATGTTTTAAGTGATTTGCTGCTTACAACTTACTGTCTGTTCTTCTTCTGTTACCAAGGAACTTAGAGAAAGAGTGCTAAGGGGAAAATACAGGATTCCTTTCTACATGTCCACAGACTGTGAAAACCTCCTCAAACGTTTCCTGGTGCTAAACCCCACAAAAAGAGGCACTCTAGAGGTAATGGCACAAATAAGGTGCATCAGAAAGCTAGACGCTATATTTTTCGAACTGTATTTTTGAGTTGCGACTGATTATTGTCGTATAGTTTATTTGAAGTGGGGTGGGGGATTGTTGAGTAAAGCATGTGACTTTTTTTTAAGGTTTTGTTTACTGGTGTTACAAGAAAGCTGACTCCACAGTTACTTTCAAAATGAATGTGAGACTACACTGCATATGTCATATAACTTTTCCTGATGGTTACCTTGTGGATTCCTGCATTAATGGATGATCCATCAGGACGTTTTCCACATTTTCAGATGTGTAGTGGAAGTGTTGACTGCTAGGTTATGATGGGGTTGCCTTTTGCCTGCATTTTGTTCCATCATGGAGGAGAAAGGCTAAAACAATACTGGCTTCCGTGGACTTCCATAGTCAAGCCTGGACTTACTAGACTTGTCAGAGTTGTCACGCTGCTGCTGGTCTGTGTTACAGACTTTTGGCTTTCAGCTATGTGCTAGAATACAGCCAATTGGGAAGCAGCCTGGCTTGATGTGCATAGTTGGTCTCCTCACTGGAGCAAAACAAAACTGAGTAGGTGTTGGTGCCTGTTCTGGAAAAGAAAAATTAGAAGAGGCCTTGGTGTTTGGTAGATAGGGGAGTTGTTTTTTCAACAGCTCATTTTCTTTTCTGGTAAGTGTATTGTACTAACAAAACCCTTTCTTTTTAGCAAATTATGAAGGACAGATGGATCAATGCAGGGCATGAGGAGGACGAACTTAAACCTTTTGTTGAACCAGAATTAGACATCTCGGACCAGAAAAGAATAGGTAACTGAGTATTTTTTCAGCATACTGTTTGCATGATGTGGGCATGGTTTTTTCCTCCACCACTCTGTATTTGTTTGCCATTTGGAAAAAATAACTAATTTTTTTAATAATGATACTTCATCAGGCTTATGTTCTCACACTTAATCGTTTAGTTTAATTCTTTAAAGTGTTCCGTTCTTTCTCTTGAACTTAAACACTCAGCCAGGCTAAACATCAGAGTATTTCTGTTACTTATAGAATGTGTGTTTGTTTTTAGATATTATGGTAGGAATGGGATATTCTCAAGAAGAAATTCAAGAATCCCTTAGTAAAATGAAGTATGATGAAATCACAGCTACATACTTACTGCTAGGAAGGAAATCATCAGAGGTAAGTATGATTCTTAAAAATGCAAAGAAACAGAGGAATCCAAAAGTGTCCATAGCAAAGTTAGAAGCAAAAATTAAGTCAGTAACTATAGGCATTGCATTCCTGCACAAAAGTCCATTATGCTTAAAAGCACATTATGCTAATCATCAGTGTCAGCTGTCCAAATGATGCTATGTTTGTTCTCACCTTGATCTGAGTCAGTAAACTCTTGCCTTTAGGCTCCCCAAAACTATCCTGCTTACTCAGCAGTTACTCCTCTGAAGGACTTTGTATGCCAGTTACTGTCCTGTCTAGTCTAGGAGCTCAAGTGTGAATATGCCAGCTGTAGATATTTTAAAAGAACCAAGGAGCAGGACCGATCAACCTAAAAACATTCCCACGTTGTAGATTACTTTTCCGTATGATGCTGAGGGGGCTCAGCATCCGTAAGCTGCTCTTGGTTCCTCTGCTGTAGGAGTTGGTGTGGTGGCTTCCACAAAATGTATTCTCTCTTCCTGTTAAAATCTTAAGAGAACTCTGAGGAGACACTATTGAAAGGAGATGGGTTTTCTTTATCTGATTGTCCTTTGAGGAGCTGCAAATTCTACTTGAGTTTTACCTAAGACAGTTGCACAAGAATCTAAGAGAAGGGACCTCTAAGCAACTTCCTTGCTGACTCAAAATTTCCTATGTACCAGAGCCACCTTCCTTCTGTCTCCCTGTTACTGCTCCCCTAATATGGTGGATGTTGAATTTTTGTCTGAACTCCTTGTTCTAATATTCTCATTTGTATTGTAGTTGGATGCAAGTGATTCAAGCTCCAGCAGCAATCTTTCACTTGCCAAAGTTAGGCCAAGTAGTGATCTTAATAATAGCACTGGACAATCTCCTCATCACAAAGTTCAGAGAAGCATATCTTCTAGCCAGAAACAGCGGCGGTACAGTGATCACGGTGAGCAATTCTCATTTTCAGTGTTGCAGAATATAGTGACTTCCAGTTCTGTTTGGTTTCTGAATTTGTCTCCATCCCCTAAAGGTAAGGAGGACGACAGCAGTGTAGCTCACAGCATGGTGGTTAAATAATTCACTGAAGAACCAATTTTTTTTTAAATGGTTTTGTTATAAAGCCTTCAAAAACAGCATTCTAGAGGAATGCTGAATACACCAACTTAATTCTCTTATTTTGCCTTGTCTTGTCCCTTGCATTCCTGACCGTGCTGGGGAAGTCTTGTTACACAAATTGAAGAGAGTGTTGCAACCCCCTTTTTCATGAAAAGCACAGCACTCCTCCCCCATGCTCTCTTGTATGTCTGTTCAGCTTTTGTTTTCTTTTGGCACTAGTAGGTCAGCTTGTGTCTAAAACGAAGAAATGTCAGTTTGCCAATATTTCTTGTTTCCTGTTTCCTGAGGGTAGTGTCACTTGATTGTCCTGCAGGAATTAAATTTCTAAAGAACAGTGACTCAGACTTAGAACTCTACTGCTTAATGAGTGTGCAAGGTAGTAGCTTAGGGTTTTCTAAATATCTTAACCATCTTCCTGCTCAGACACTAACTCATAAAAGGAGTCTGTGTTTAGGTCTGCTTTTAAATACCTCAGGTGCATTCAGAGGTTGCTTTCCTTGGGGAGTCTCCTGGGATGACAGTTACTGTGTTTTCTGATGCTTTTTAATACATAAATTTATAAATATATATAGAATATATATTTTATATATATTCATCTGTATTTTTAGATGTTTGTGTGTATACATACACTTTTTGATTGTTATTAAAACGCTAACTACAAAATTGATGTATCCTCTTCTGAGAAGGTGTAGTTGAGACAGCAGAAAACACAATCCTGATGTACCTGCATGCTTTTCGCAGTGTGCAGGAACCTATTAAAGCAAGAGGGAGCTTGCCACTGTTGAATGGGCTGCCTCATTCTCAGGTGTGCTGGACCGGTTTTCTGTTCTTGGCACACCCGGGGAGGCTAGTGGCAAACCGCTGCTGCTTCTGGGCTGTTCCAGGAGTGCAGTCCACTGGCTGTTAGTGCTGCTGGTGGTCCAGGGTTCTGTCACCAGGTACCTGTCTCAGGAGCCTGGTTTTATCAGAAGCTGGCTTGAATAGCATGTGCCAGCTTTGTGCTAATGAAGGATCATCTGGTTTGCATGAGTCAGTTACTTGTTAAGTGTCGTTAAGGTGACTCTAAAGGGGTTTTTGTAGCAAGCCAAACCAATGCCAATACTCAAACACCAGAAGCTTCCGTGAAATTCATAATTTTTTCATGGAAATCAAGTAGTATCTTCACCTGGAAAGGTTTTTGTTTTTCACAATATTTTGCTGTCTTCTGAAGTATGTGTACTTTGATAATTTAAATAATTACCTTTTTGCAACTCTGATTCCCAGTGTTAATTATTTTGATTCTCATGTGTGAATACGTTTCCATTGTAGTGAAAAATAGCTACTGAACTTCTGAGAAGAAAAATCCTTTTCCTGTTTCTTTTGTGTTTCTTTTTTAAGCTGGACCATCCATCCCCTCAGTAGTGGCATATCCCAAAAGAAGCCAGACTAGTACTACAGACAGTGACCTCAAAGAGGAAGGAATTCAGTCAAGAAAATCCAGCAGTAGTGCTGTTGCAGGAAGAGGAATTGCACCAGCTAGTCCAATGCTTGGAAATGCCAGCAATCCCAATAAGGCTGATATTCCTGAACGTAAGAAAAGTTCGGCTGTTCCTAGTGTAAGTAGAAAAGCTTATTTATCAAAACCATGAAGTGTTTTTGAGGGGTGAAAAAGTGTTAAACCTGTGATATATCAGTGGTTCTGATTTTACTTTTCATTACTTTTCAAAGGTGTATTCCAACCTGTATGTAAAAGCAGTGTGCCTGGCTTTTGTCCTTGTGGGCTTCCACCACCTGCCCCTAAACCTCAACAACAAAAAAAACCCAAACACACTAAGGTGCATAACTAGTGAATTCACAGGCTTGAGCAGTAGGCAGTGTGCGAAAATAAAGAAACTCTTCAGTTCAGTTTTGGCTTTAACTTGTATACTCTGTGGTGCCTCCCTCTGAGGCAAAGTTGGAAATCTGTTTTCACATAAGTCTTGAGTCTTGTAACATTTAATTACTAAAACTTTGGGGTTTTGTATTGAAAAACTTCCTTCTTTTCAGAAGAAATAACTTCCCAGTCCTTTATTCTTCTTGGAATGATTTATTTTTTTTTCTAAACTTATCCCACAAAGCTGTCATATTTGGTCATGTGCTCAGCACCATTACTTAGAAAAATGAGAACAGAACTTCCTGAGCTCACAGCTCTTTGACAGTCTGAAGCAAAAGAAGTAATATAAGATTTGTTTCACTTTATTGGCTCTGTATTGTCAGTTGGCTCAGTGGCTGATAGTGACTTAGCTGGAAGATTTCAGCCAAAGAGATGGCCTTGGAAAGACATGTCTTCTACTGTAGCAGCTGTCATTCATAAATCTGAACAAGAGCTCATGATTTTGGGCGACCTTTTTCTGATTTTTGTGGTCCCCTGCCCTTTCCCTTTTTTTTTGATCAGTCCAGAAACCATTCAGATTTTGTTTCTCCTTACATGACAGTTCTTGGCTACTGAGCCTCAAAATGGTGGGATAATCAAATCAGTTTTGTCCTACATTGAACTTCACTCGGTGTTGTATAGTGCCTTATTCAAGAGCTTTGCATCACAGTTACAACATATGTTGTATTTAGTATCTTTAGTATTTTGATCTGCTATTCTACACCACTCCCAAATCCTGGGGATTTATTCTAGTAGTCTTATTTCAAATTTCATACTACTGTAGCTGAAGTAAAATCTGAGCTCTAAACCATAGGATCTTTCTCTCTCCTGATTCAGTGTGCAACTGATCCAACTGATGTTTTACAAGCAGTGGTACAAGGTGGTGAACATGGAATCAGACTTGTGATGCCACTCAATTAATTAGGGTTTAAAATTGTCTCTGTTTATAGGTTGCGATGTCAAACAGTGCAAACTCTCTTTTTTTTCTTCTCCCCTGGCTAGAGATTATTCTTTTGCTTTCTGGCTGTTGGGGATAGAGGGAAGCACTGACTTTTTTCACAATTCCTGGAACTGATTAGGGAGTTTTATTTCTTACAGTATTAGCATGCATCTAGAAGGAAAAAAAGAATGTTGGAGTTTACCATGTTGTCCTGAAGTTGAAAAAAGTTTGAGGTGGAGAGGGTTTGTGTTCTCACTGAGCACTTAAGTCCTAAAATCGGTAATACGGTGAGAAAATCACTGAAGAGACACAAAAATATTGTTTAAAAACAATTATTACTTTGACAGATACAGTGAAAGTAGTAGAACTGGTCCTCGCTGGAGACCCTTAGCCAGTTGTGTGCTGCTCTTATTAAACAACAGAGCATACAAGCATGCACTTAAGGATAAGAGTTGTGCTTGTAGAGCTGATAACTAAGTCTGGGGTTGAAGTAAGGGGCTCCAAGCTGTACCTCTGAAGTTGACACAGTGTTTAAGCTCTTGCAAACTAAATAGTTCTGCAAGCTGAACAAGTCCACATCAAAAATATTCAAGTTCATTGGGCAAATACCAAATCAATAATGAAAACCTGCTACAGGGGTTGCATAGGTAGCAGCAACTAGTAACAACTTGTTTATTACTCACAGCTTTGGATATTTCCTCAATGCTTGTAATAAGGCTGCCCCAGAGCCCTTAGTATAGCTTCAAGAAAATTGGAAGAGGAGGATAGATGGTATGTTTGGAAAATCATTTAGGACCAAAAAACATACTAGTACTCTTAAGTAAATAGATTGGTTCATTATTGTAAGTCAGAAGCTGATTCTTTGAAAGTTTTTCATCAGTCCTTGCCTTGGTGTCTCAATGTGAAAATAGCCTGCCTAAGCAGCGGACACAAGGCTCCCTAGGAAAAGAGGAGGACTCTGTACCACAAATTTGTCCTTTGTGCTGTGATTGGACCTTGTGCGTATGCTCAGAAGTCTTAATGTGCTTTTGCATTGTCAACACCTTCTGCAAAGAAGGCAGATAGCGCCACAAGGATGAACTTACTTAGCTAACGCTGACCCTAGGGGTTGTCATTCCATCAGGGAGTAGTGTGGTGCTGTTGACACCAGTTTCAGGCTTCCTGTGCTGTGCATCTATGCAATTTAGTCATGCAGTAGATTGGCTGAACAAAAAAGTCATAGCTGAAGAACTTCCTTGATGAATTGTGAAAGCTTGTATGCTAAAAAGTGTAAAGGCCCCAATACCAAGACTGTATTCTTGCTAAAACTGACATTTGAAAGCTTGAAATGCTTAAATCTCCTCTCATGACCTCTGAAATCTGAGCCAAACAGAAAAAAATGTATACTGATCCTTCTGTCTTTGCATTCCAGAAAGAGCTGGGAAAGTGCATCTTCAGAATCCTCTGATTTCAGATATGAATAACAAAACTTCTCCACTCCAAACCTGAAAATGCATAGTCCTTAAAGTTTGATCCAGCACAGAGATTGCTGTCTTGTCTTTCTAGATGTGCAACATCACAGTACATTTTAATGTTATGTGGTGTTTTCTCAAGGGAGACAAATATTTAATGTTCTAAGGGAGCAGGTAGAAAGAAGGAAGCCACCCATTTTTGTCTGTATTTCCCACCAGAAGAACAGTCGGATATTCTAGGTGCTTCATTCTCTAGTATGTTCAGGAACACAGACCAAAATGATAAGCAAATATTAATAGGCAATACTTCAATGTACCGTTGGTGTGTGAGGGCTCCGCAAAGTGTCTTGCACAGCGTGACCTCTCAAGAACGTACAAACAAAACTTCACCTTAGGTGCACAGCCTTCATTGCTAGCAAGTTGAGTAAAGAGAGGGGAGTTTGCCCAATGACAAATGTCAGAGAAAAGTAGAAGAATCAATGTGACTTTTTTTTTTAAATAAACAAAGAGATTCAAAGACAAAGGATGTGTAAGGAATAAAGTACAAGGAAAGGGCCAGGAGGACTTCTGCTGATGCTTGGCACATGCCTATGCCTAAGGAATATCCAGTGAAAAATTCTTGACAACCCTTGAGACAACTACATCCATCTTAGGTTTTAATTAATAGTTCTGCTAATCTAAAATACTGTTGATACTCTTTTTACTTTTTAAGACCAGGAGGTTGCGCAGTTCACTTGATTTCATTTTTGTTTGTACATTCACGTAAAGATGTATAACAGGTCAGCAGTCTTTTAAAGAGACAAGATGGCTTCATTAAATCTGCTGCTCAGGGATTGCATTGCTTGAGACTCCCTGTATAGCAAATATTTTGCCTTAAGGCACTGGAGGAGCTTTTGCTGGTTATTGAGAATATTCCACTTTAACAGTTTTATTTCAGGTTTGGAAACAAAAAAGGTTTGTCTACTCTCCTTTTGTGCTTGAACTAGTTTTTCCTTTCTTTTTTTTTATCCTTCTTCCCATGATTCTCTACTGTGACCATTTATGTAAAACCTTTTCTTAACGCTATTTTAAAAATCCGCTGAATTTCCCTTGTCTGTCATAGCAGTAATTCTTCAAAGAACTCCAAAAGGTTAGTTGAGCATGAAGTCCCCTGCCTGATTCTTAGTGGCCATCCTTACTCAACATGTGCTTATCCAGGTGCTGACCAGTCATTCCCTTAAGCTAGCCTCCTTCAAGACTTTCCCCAGCAGTGATGTTTAAAGTTAATAGCCTATTTTGCTTCCTGCTTTGCCCCGTGATCCTTTTCTTTAAAGAAAAATTTTAAAGGTTTTTTCCACTTTTCCAACCATATGCAGTTTCCTGTGTTATGTTCTTGGGGTGGGGAGAAAAAATATAAGGCTTGCCGGCTTTTACTTCCTCTACAACCTGGGTGTGCATGTTTATCTGGACCACCATGCTTTTCCTACAGTAATTGCATCTAACTTTTTATAATTCTGTTATCTGTGAATTACCTAGCTTCTCAGTCGTTCCTGGAAAATTGACCGCCAACTTGGGCATATCTCCACCCTCTTTCTCTGTAAAGACAGAGGCAAAGTAATTCTATTTCTTTTCTCCCTCTAAAGTAAGGTCTGTAGTTTAAGTTCCCCTGGTTCTCTTGTCCTCAATGTATTATGCTTGTATTTAAATGTATATTTTTTAAAATGTCTTATTAAAATTCTCTGCAATTTGTCTCTTTAATTTGACTTATTCTTCCCTGTTTTTAAAACTTGTCTAGTGTTTTATAGTATTTTAATATTTAAAAGTCCATGTTTACCTTCCCACTGATTTTTACCACATTTGTTTCTTAAGTCTTTGCTTTTCCTATCTTGTTTAAGGGTATGGTTTTAACTTAAAGGAAAATTCTACAATCTGCAAGTGGTAAAGTATTTCAAAAATAGGTTATAAAGACATAAGGTATCCAGATGTAGATGAATGCTATACATGCTGAGAGTTTGTAATTCAGAACATTGGTAATTAAAAACTTTAAGAGATATTAATTTTGAGCCATCAACATGAAATACAAGAACAACTTGTTAGAATTATTTTTTGTGATTGCGTTATTCCTTAAAAATACTGGAAGGTGTTTGTATATTAACTTAATTATTGTAAGTCTTCTAACTGTGTAGAACTAGCATGAAGTAAAACTGCCTTCAATTATATGTAGACTTAACCCCAGAAAAGCCTTTTGTGGGGAATAACAACCCTGTGTTTTTTAATTGTAGAATAATACTGCCCCTGGAGCAATGACGCGGCGCAACACATATGTTTGTAGTGAAAGAACCACTGCTGATAGGCATTCAGTGATACAAAATGGCAAGGAGAACAGGTATATGAAATGTCTTCATATGGTGTATGTCCTTGTCTTCACATTTCCAAAAAATTGTAATGCCTAATTTAAAAATCAGTAATACTCTAGTGTAATTCTTAATGAAAGGTGAGTACAGATCTTTGGTTATGGAGCACCTGTGTAAGTATGTTGGGTTTTTGGTTTTTGGTTTTTTTTTCCTATACTTACTTCATACAATCTTTATACTTAGAATGTAAAAGGAAGTTCCTAATTTCTGGTTAAATACATCTCATATTTGTACAGCCTTCATCTTAACTCAGCTGTTAACTCCTGTGGCCAAACAACATACACTTGCAGAAGAGGTTTGTTTAGTGTCAGACGACAAAGTCCATCTCTCTTGGGCCATTCTCTTTTTACATTTCACTCTAAACTGTACTTTGTTGGGATTATTTGGAATACTGTTTTTCTACAAAGTCTCAGGGAGAAGGTCAGTTTTTTCTGAGGAAAGATGAAACAGTGGTAGGCCATTGTCTTGGACTAATAATGTTCCTTACTGATATTCTTGTAGTCTAGTTGCTTCCCAGTGTTTACAGAACTCATCTTGAGAAGGGATGCGCTGATACCTCCATATTCTGAGTGAAAACAGTTAGAGAAATAACAGGTTTCCTCCTACTTTACTGAATGAAAGCCTGACTGGAGCATGCAATGGAGTTGGAGTTAACCAGTTCATGGTTTAGCACCATGGCCATGTCTAGTGCCATCCTTACCTGTGTACCAAAGACTGAGAGCCATAGAAAATAAAGATAATAGTGAACGTATGCATTAGGTATAGAGTAACACTTGTGAAACATACCACCAAATTTCCTGGCTGGGTGAGGTGTTTTAAGTTCCAACCACCCATTCTTCACAGAATTTTCCTGGTCTTAAAAACTGGTAACAGTTAAGTACTTGACCATTGCCAGGAGAGCACCCAGAGAGCTAGTACTTAATAAAAATGCTTAAGCTTGGAGGAATATGTGCTTCTCTCCTACTCTTACCAATTTTCTCCACCCCTTCCTAATTTTATGATATATTGTAAAGGGTGGGAAGAAAATGCTTTTCTTCTAGGTCGGGTTTTAAGTTGGTGAAAGATCTGCCATTTTTTTGCACAGAATTTTTCCACTTCCTCTCAGCAGTTCATAAGGAAAAGTGGCAAAGTTGTGACGTTGCCTGGAAGGTCCTTCTGTCCCTTGTTTGACTCCTGGAGCCTAGGGATAAAGAACATGATTTTGACCCTGTCTCTTCCTCCTAGCTTTCTGCAAACTGAAAGTGATTAAGAAAAAAGTCAAGTATAAGTTTGAAGAGTGCCAAAAGTCTAGCTGGCCAGCTGGGCGTGCAGTCAACTGTCTTGTGAAGTACAGCACAGCTATTTGGTACTGTCTCTTAGTGTGTCTGTCTCAGCCTTCATTGGTTAGTCCCTGTTAATGTTACCAAGTTTGTTTAGATTAAAGCTCACCAGCCTTTCTTTGATTTGATACGTTAATAGCTTTTTTCTTTCCAACCTATCTTTGAAAAATGGATCTTTCTGTCCAAAATAGTTTTGATCAGATTTGATTACTTGATTTCTTGGTTTAATTACATTTTTGTTCATCTTTAAACTAATATCTTTGCAATATCTTATCTAAAATTTCTTTATTACATTTTTTACAGTTATTAGATATTGTTTACTAAGAAGGCTTGAGATTCAGATGTCCCCTTAATTTAGGAGTAACTTCATAATCCTAAGGAGCTGTCTTCTGAAATTGTTATTTTTTTCCCCAGATTTGAGTTTCTCAGCAAACTACTGTCTTTCTGGTTTGTCACATATGGGCATTAAGCTCAAAGTTAACATTGGGTAGTACTTGGCAACTACATTAATTCTATTTTATATTCATAATTGGTTATCCTTACATAATTTATCTTTTATTGTCAATATGGTATCCAAACATCATTTGCTTATCCTGCAAACTTTAGCCCTGTTTAGGTCATTTGAAATGTCTGAGCATTTATATTTTCACTGTCGGGGAAAAAAAAATCTTTATAGCTTTTATCATGTATTATTGATTACTACTTTTGTTACTTTTTATAGAGGGTCAAAACAAGAAAAGATAATGAGAATGCATTGCTAATTGTTTTACAATTAGATTTCTCATTGTCTGAAACGCTTCAACACTACACTGCACATTCATTTTGGCACAATTTCAGAATTACTGTGATTTGGCACAGAATTCAGAACTTATATCTGAATATATTTTGTTGTTGTAACTGGGCAAAGGCTTGGCTGATCACATGAAATGCAGGGACCTTTAACGCAGGCTAAATCGACATGGCTGTTGATGGGACTGGCTCTTCAGGATGAATTCTGCCTGCCTTCAGGTGTTTCTGTAGTATCTCTAATTGTACTTTCAACTTGGCAGAAAGAACTTTAGAAACTTGTAATGGTTTTTCTTCTGTGAAGCAAGATCTGACGTAGAACCTGGGCTTTGTATAAATCCAAGGTTTTGTTAAAAATGCTTTCTGTGCTTTTGAAATGCCTATTGGTGGCAAATGGTAAAGGCAGGAGTAATTGCTATAAATGATTTTGTTACAGATTGGATTTTAGTTTTTCCATAGCCAGTCAGATACTAACTGTGACCCAGTGAAAACTTGGGAGACTTGCCTTAAAAGGCAAGATGTGCACATTTGAAGTCTCTTCTTTCTGTAGAGAAAGTTTTAAAATGTTGCTTGTTCTGCTTTTATCTTGCACATTGAATTCTGAGAAGGCAGTATTTCCGAATGTGTGGAAACTTTGAGGAATTGATAGTCAGCTAGTGGGCTTGGTGTTGGAGAAAGTAGTCTTGAAGACCCCTGTGCCAGACTGGTAGAAGCAAAAAAAAAAAAAAAAAAAAAGGTTTTGAAGTTTCACATCCCTACTTTAACACATTGTGTGGCTGACACAGGCATTCTGCAGAGGACTGCTGGCTTTCCTCCAAAGTCTGAGCATTAATTAACGCACTTGGGGACTTGTGAAACACTCTTCATAATTATAGGCAATTGCTTTAAATCATTTGTAACACAAATGATTTACAACAGCATCAGATTTTTAATAAGCATTGGCACTAATTAGTGAATGTTAGCTCACTGTTTCTGTGTTCCCAGGCTAGTAAGGAAGCTGATTTCTAGCAAAGATTCAGAGGAAGAGATATATATGCTTTAATATGTGCTCTGGTACCTTACTGATACCTTTAGCTATCACATCTTTGGAAGCAGGCGACTAAATAAAACCTGGATCTAATGTGTTGTAAATCTAGATTCTTTCTCCTTTATCTTTTGCAACAAATTGAAAGGAACTAGAAGTGCTTGAGAGGCTAGTGACCAATTATTTGGGGATTACTTGACTTCAGAGTATTGCTTTTGAGATGAATGTTCATTTCCGTACAATTTCTTAATACCCTGGGATAATGTAAAAGCTGGGCTGTGTTGCAGGCTTCGTTGTAGAGATGCATACACGATGTGGATGAAGTTTTCTAGATTCTGAAAAGTTAAAACCAAGAGAAAAAGTAGTAGATTTTGCTAACTGTTTTAGCCAGCAGTTCTGATGTCTGAGCTGTGGGGTGTTTTCTACTAGTGCTTTGGGAGCTAAGCCTGAGAAGTGGGTCAGCTGATACTTGTAGTTGGACTAGCTTTCTCCGAAGTCTGACATACCAGAATGAGATAACAGGACTTGAATTTCAGTATGTGCAGTCATGATGTAACGTGGAAGTGAACATGCAGTGTCATGAAACTGTTGCTGACAATTATGATTTCTTAACCTCGAACAATATTTCTGAACTACAGTTGCCTTACTTTTAAAGCAAACAAGATGAATGACATACGGTGTAGTAGCCTGAAAGGTCCAATACATCTTGTGGCCTGTCAGTTTTCTCACATCCTTATCGTTACTAGATAACGTGAAGGCTGCAAAGAGTATTTTGGCCCAAAGAAAGAAAAAGATCGCATGCTCCTATTTTAACATATTATACAGCTGGCAGCTTACTGGCCATTCTGCTAAGACAGCACTGTATACCTTCCTTCAAAGCCTGAATGGTAATTTGGAGAATTTAAGGTTCATGGCCAAGCAATATGAGACGCTCTTCAACAGTCATACCTCTTTCTTCAGAGTGTTATTCATTGCTTCCTACATGTGCAGGTTGATTTATAGTAGCCTTTTTGTTTGGGCCTCTCTGGACTTGTTAAAGATCATGATATTGTTTTCGATTGCGCCTGTGAAGTCCCTCAGTTATCAGATGTGGATCGAGATTTGAGAGCTTGCCCAACTTACACTGATTTCTTTTAACATGGATACATTCTGAAAACAAAGTATTTCGCTGCAGTAATGGAGCTATCATCAGTCTTTTGGAAAGTGCAGTTGGTGGGGGTTTTTAATGCATTTTTTAATGTTAAGACCAATACGAGTTACATCAGTGCTTTATAGTAGTGCTTTGGCACAGAACACTGAGTTATTCGGGTTCTGTATGTCAAGGAGGGTATCACTGCAAACTAATGCTAATGGTAAGAGAATGATCACTTCATAGATGTCAAGTGATATAGTAAGGATGCTTTTTAAGGGGACTGTAGGGTAGTTACTACTATTTACATAGAAGAGGGCTGTTAGAGTTCGTGTTCTTTGATAAATCAGTTAACAGAAGGAAAAGTTTGCTTTTTTTCTATGCAGTAGTTTGTTGTTGGTCCATCATGCTCTTCTTTCTGCCTCTGCCTGAACCCAAACCCCCTCACAGCCTGACAGAAATGTTCGCTTACGCAGCTAGCCCTGCTTCAGTTTGTACTACATCCTTCTCCAGTGTTCGGCTGCGACATCAGAAGTCGATGTCCATGTCAGCCTCTGTGCACACGAAGATGATGTTGCCTCCAATAGACAATGGCGCAGATAACTTCAGGCCTATGTAAGAACCTGAAATCGTTGTGAAACTAACTTATACCCACTGCTTCTTAACTTTGTGCTGTGGAATTTTAGTCCTAGATTGTTCTAGTATATATTGCCCACAAGATGTGTGTTTCCTCATTTTTTTTAGTCTTGTTTACATTTGTCTTGTGGTGTGTCAGGCTGTCTGTGACATAATCCTGCAATAATGAACCTTAATTTTTTTCTTAGTGTTAGGAGTATTGGACATTCCCTATTGTCAAAGTTTGTGGGAGACTTTAACTCTGTATCCTGAAGGACTTCACTACTTGGAGCAGTTCACTTGTAGAGAATTTTGTGTAGGATACTTTCAAATTAGCAAGATTTTCAAAGATGAATATATAGAATGTGGAGGGAGAGACACTAAAGTTACCTACTGCTTCTCTTTCCTGGGAGGAAACTTTACTTGTCTATTCTTTTATCAGTCTTCAGTGAAACATTGTATGCCTAGTTTATCTGGTCTTTTCCAGGATACTCCTGTTGCATTTTTCTGCCTATGTAGGTTTCTGTTTCGGCAGCCTTTTAATCCTAACTTCTTACAAGTTTTGATTCCATACAGTGCTGTAATAATGTTGATATTTCCAACCCTGGCCTTATATAAAAGTGTCTGCTTATGCTTTACTGTAGAACGTAGTGTTTTGTGTTTCCTGCAGAACTGTAGTGCTTCTGGAAAGAAGTTCTAGCGTTGTTTTTTTTTTCTGCTCTAGCACTATTCCCGATCAAAGAACTCCTGTTGCTTCAACTCACAGCATTAGCAGTGCAACCACACCTGATCGTATTCGTTTTCCCAGAGGAACGGCTAGTCGGAGCACTTTCCATGGCCAGCTCAGAGAGCGACGTACTGCTACCTACAACGGACCACCAGCCTCCCCCAGTCTGTCCCATGAAGCAACACCACTCTCACAGACTCGAACCAGGGGTTCCACTAACCTGTTCAGTAAACTAACTTCAAAACTAACAAGAAGGTAAGCCTCTGAAAATGGTAATGCAACATTTCCTTTTTACCAGGTAGTAGAAACACCTAGTAGTTCATCGCTTAGGTGGTTTTGTCCATATTCTCTGATTAATGGCTTAACAATTTCTGCAACTTGAAATGCACTGGCTTATGATTTTTTCATAGTTCTTTTTGGTTACAGAAGCCATTTGTTTTTAGCAGTTGAATCAAGTGGGATAAAAAGTGAGACAGTTTGGTCTGTGCTCTTCTATGCTCTTCATCCTCATGTCTCAAGTACAAATGCTGCAGAGCTGAAACATTTCAGCTCAGTTCAAAAGCTGCTCGCTCTGACTTCATGGTCAATCAGTAGACAGCATAAACTAGGATCGCAGTCTTGATATTTAATGTAGCATTAGAAGCTCAGGTTGTGTTGCCCAATCACTTAGGCTGTCAGTGTTTCCAGAATAATTTTGCTGGCAACACATGAATAGAATTATCACAGGTGAAAGGGTAGGGGCAGGAGACACAAGTTTCTTTTGGCAGTAGTGCTAGCATAGGTCATGTTAAAATAATGGCAGTACTATGCTTTCAGTCTAGGCAGGAGTCTGGTCAAACCTTGAAGAACTTATTCCTGTTTTGACCTTTAGTTCACGTGCAGATTCTGATTTTGGTGTGAAGGTACGTTGGTCTAGCCAAAACCTAGCTTAAGTAGGTGCTGTTCCTGCACTAACAGTTTTTATTCTAATTGGACTTCTAGTTTCAAATCCATGTATGATTTAAATTAGTTCCTACAAACCCTAAAATTGAAAACCATCATTTTCCTTCTATATTTAAAACCTGTTGGTTCACATACTGCATACTTCAGACCACTCTGATACCAAGAACTTGTGTTTGCAGAAGTGAGGGTTTGTTTATCTTTGCCTTAAGATATTCTTCATGCTTTCGTACCCTCCTCATCAGGTGAAATTTTTTTTAATATATCATTCTGATCTTGGCCTGCTTGCTTTTGTTTTAGGCTTACATCACATCAGCACCAAGCCATTTCCTTCCTGTCTGTTCTGTGATTATATGTTCCTCTCTCTCAGCATCCTCTTCATAGTCTCCAATTCCTACAAAATAATGCTGAGCCAAACTCGCATTTTTTCACAACTGGCTGATTTCAATTTAGAGACTGAATTTCTTTAAAAATTTAGAAGTTGTTTCTGTGAAAAACAAAAATGTGACAGCCTAGCCTTTGGTAAATGTTTTACCCTGCTCAGCTCTCTGCCAGCTAACACTTCCCTGGGAAATACTGTGCTGTATGAAATTCTCTTTTTTTTTTTTTTCTTTTTTTCCCCTTTTTTTTCTGTTGAGAGGGATAAAAGATTAATTTGAATTTCTTTTTAAGAATTAAATCATCTGCTTTTTGTCAAGTGAAGTCTTAATCAGACACATTCTTTTGGCACATCTTTCTTACTGTACTTTTGTTTGTAATATCCTTACTTAATTTTCCATCTGACGTTCCAAATGTGGATGCTCAAACTGTGAACATGCAAGCTTTTCACTCAGTTGTTTAGGCAGTATTCAAACTTCTATCACTACCTCCGAGTTTCAACTTTTTGCAGTGCAGTGTGGTTTTCTTGAAGTTTTTCTGCCACTACTTTTGACAATAGTTTAAATTGCATCTGAACTTGATTAAATAACATGCAGTTGTAATACAATAGCACTGTTAGAGATGGTTAAGTTTGCACTTGGAGGACCTTTTATAGTTGGGGCTCTGTTTAGTATAGGTGCTGTACAGACTACTAAGGAGGTGAATAGTGCCATTAAAGGACATTGTTATGTTTCTTCTCTCTAAATAAATTATAAAGAACCTTGAAACATGTTAATTTATTTTAGCATTCTCTATGGGGAATCAGAATCCTTTTGATTATGAACTACGTATGTTCTGGTGTAGGCAATTGTTACAGCTTCTGTCACTAAATTAACTAAATATTTAAGGCAGTTTTTGGCACAGCATGGCTGACCTAACGTGCTGAAGGAAGGAAGAAACCTAACTCTGAAAATACTCAAGATCTAATTGTAGTAGAGTTACTGATTTTTGCTTTCTATTTGAAATACATGAAGAAAATCCAAACATATTTTTATGTGGCCTTGCAGATTGAGTTTCAAAGTGTTTTGACACTAGTACGTATTTTAATTCATAATAACTACTGGTGGCATATTCCCAGAAAAATTAAGTTTGGAAGTAGCAATGTTAAGAGTTTGACTCTTCAGACCCTAAATCCTCTGCCTAATCTCAGAATGTATTGAAGTGTAATTTCATTGCGCGTTTTAAATGAGATCTTTTTGCATGTTTCACTCTAAATGGCTTTTTCAATTTATTTTGTACAAGACTTTTTTGTTAATTATTATTTTGGCTTAATTTCTTTTAGAAACATGTCATTCAGGTTTATCAAAAGGTAGGATTTATTTATATTTAAAAAAAAGTGGCTCCTGCAATTAACAACAGATTTGGCTTTCTAGCCTTGGTTTTCTGAAAAACTAAACTTTCTGCTGAGAACTAAATACTTTCTTTCTTGAGCGGAAAGCATAGAATAAATCCATTAACTCATGATGATACTTAAGAATCTGTGGCACCTGTATAACAAGATGCTAAGCATGCCTTGTGAATTCTTCTTTCTTTGATAGAGTTGGTAGTACCAAAGTAATTCTGTTCTCTGTACTAATACACTTAGCATGCTTATGTTTGAAGAATGAGGTGTTTGATAACAATGATGAAAGTATAAACAAAACATAAGGTTACAAGCAAATAAAGGTAAGTGATTCTAAATTTACATTCTTTCTCTCTTTGTTCTATGATAATTTATAAAAAAAATCAGTTTGAAGTGTTGTCTGCAGTTGATACAGTAGAAGGCAAACTGAACACGGTTGTGAATAACACTTTTGTATGGAAGATTGAATGAAGATGCAACGGCTGTGTACTTATTTTAAAATGGGATGCATTTGCTGAAGTGAGTTGCAGCTGCAGTGCAAATAGAGCACTTCAGTTATAAACAAAAAGTATAACATTATGCAAATTTACTGACAAAAGGGAAAAGCTCAGAAGTCTGATTTGCATTTCAAGCCCAAAGGATTTAATTTAGTTTTACAATTTGGGAATGAATCAAGCTGCTATATATCATGTTAATCCATTATGATTCATGAAAGTTGGTGATACAATTTTGATCCGCAGGTAAATATTCCAGCAGAATTTTGTAACACTCTGTTCAGTTGTATGATAACTTGGATCTTCTTAAAGGGTAGTACCTTCAATTTCCAACTACTGATCAAAAATAGGGAGACAGGGTCAAAAACCAGACATCTGTTTTAACTTTCGAAATGCAAGGCTATGCACGTGACTAATTTGAAGTTTGTCAGACCATTTCAAGGAAATACTTTGATTAGGGCGACCTGAGACATGTAAATTGCTGCCTAAATTTGGGATTATTATGTACAGTCCCAGTCTAAATGTACCCTACCCGATTTAAATGAGTAGATTCCATGCAACCGTATTAATAATCAGAGCTCTTCCAAACATGACTTATGTTTAGAACTGGTGTTGGTTGGGCTGGCTGGCATTGTCATAGCTGACTTGAGAAAAAGAACACACACCAACTTTTAAGGAAGGAAACAGTCCAACACAGCATACAGATGAAACTGAGCAGCGGAAATAGTTTTAACCCATTGTGCGTCATGAGTTGTGGGGTGCATACCACATTGTAAGAGGGAGCTTTTGCCTCTCTAGTCACATTGCTTTTAAAACAAAGGGTTGTGATCTGTGCAACCTCCACAACTGGATACGTGTAAGTTTGTTACACTGCTGCTCCGAAGAAAGATGGAAAATGCTAATATGAGTACAATTTTAAACTAGAAGGTTACTGTTCAAATTTGAGACTTTAAAAAGTTATTTTTTTAATAATTTTTAAAGATTTTCCTTTGACTTGAGGCCAAGAATCTTAGAATATTGTGGAAATAGCTGCTACAGCTTCCATGAATATGTCTTTTGAGTAAGAGATTTGCAAAGTCTTACACCACCTACACAGGACCAGACTCTGCTTTTTAAATTCTGTTTTAAGTGTGCATGGTGCCCCTCCATACCTAATTTGTATGTAGGTACAAAATAAAATTTAAAATATTGGGGGTTTTGGCAATTTCTTCTCACTTCTTATGCTATGAATCTTTGATACTGAAAGAACTACTGTAGCTGAATAGCACGTATATATACTACTGCAACATCATTCTACGGAGCTGAACAACAGTAGATAATCAGTCAATCAGTCACTCCTTTTTAAACTACTGAGTTCTAATGCTGTACTTGGTGCACAGAGGTATAAAATATATATGTATCTCTTGTACCATGCACTGTCCTTGCCAGTCTGCATATTGTGGAAGTCCAACTTAACTTTCTGACAGCAAAAATCACCTTTTATGTTCTGGATTTTATTGTAGCATCTTTTCTCCATTTCCATAAATTGATCTTATTTTAGAGTCTTGCACTTTTTGCTGGTTTTCCGTATCTTTTTAGACAGTTTTCTTTGTGTTTATTTGGATTTTTAACACAGAGTGTACAAAGATGTAAAGAACAGAAAACACAGCATAACTCAGGACAGATGTATGGAAACATTTTTGAAAGCCTTTCACAAATTATAAAGGAGATAGTGTATAGGCATTGCATGACAAATGAGAACACAACTTTCCTTTATATTTGTTCCATTCTCAAGATCAAGAAGCATCTTGGTCCATAAAATTAATTTATGTAAAAATACAAGCAAAAGCAGAAAATTCAGAGCATAAACTAGCAATTCGTAGTTCCCGCAGAAGTGAAGATTGTATTAGCAGTGGGGCGGCCTCAGGGCTGCTTCTGACTTGCTGTCAGAAGCACTGAAACAGTACTGGCAGTACAGTAAGTGACTGTTCCTGAAGCACCAGTGCTGGGCCGTAGAACTGGACCATAACCATGTGCTTCATGAAGGAAGGAGCGTCTAGAAAGACTGACACAGCTCTCCAAAGCTTGACGTGATGGCTTGTATTTGAGAATGCGTGTCACCAAATGCAGTTCCTCATGCTAAATGAATGGAGCATTGACGCATGGAAAAACTGAACATAGTAAGGATTTTCTGAGAGGCTTCCACGAAAGAGTGTTTATTATTTCAAAGTGGCAGGTATTCTGTAAATTATGATCTTCTTAGATTTAGAGTACAGGGGTTTAGAAAGAGAACAGTTTGGCTTAATTTCAACCATGAAAGGGTCTAAGAACATCATTAGGGATTTTCCCTCCCAGACTTTTCTGGACAGATTCCAGTAACAGTAAGACTATTCATTATCAGGGAGACTGGTTATGTTCCTGTTTTCTACAACCTTTGGCAAGTTTAAAAAAAAAAACAAACAAAAAAAACCCCAACAACAAAACGCACAAAAAACCAACAAAACCAAAAACCAAACCACAAAAAGCCCCATAAATGCTTACAGCTCTTAACAAAGCTGTTGTCTTCCACTTCGTAGGTCCACAGTAGGCTCTTTAAAGTTCAAGTACTCTCAATTTTTCAATTGAGCAGTGTCTTCAAACTTGTTGCTTGCTTTGCCTGGTAAAAAGAGCCTTTCCCAGATCACCTGAAAGGTGTGGATTTGTTCAGCTGGTACATGTGATGGTTTCTCCCTTCCCACCTACTGCCTTCTTGGTCCTACAGAGTTGTTGTGAAGGATGAGTTCAGGGACTGTATATGCAGACCTGAAAAATCTCTTTCTACCTTCTCCTATATCCACAATAGGTAAGTAGCATGAGATCTCATGAAAGTAACTACCATTAAAAACCCACTTTGAAGTGCTAGAATTAGTTGAGGACTTGTCAGTTGTTTTCTTCTCATTATCATCTTTATCCTTTTTGCTTGTGACAGCTGTTCATTAGTCAATGGCAAACGTTTCATAGCAGAGACTCTGTCGTACCATGTGCTGTGCACTACCTCAGAGAGCCGGGTTCTGATCAGATGCTGTTGTGACAAGCAGCTCATAGCTGAGTGACTTACCACTTTCTTAATTGGATTTCTATTGCAATAGCAGTGTGAATTTTGAACAAGGAGCAGGCTCCATAGCCTGTACAGCAAGTGCTGCCACCATGCTCCTTGCAGTGCTAACACAGCGTCTGTTTCCTCGTGACAGGGACTGTAGAGTCTTCTTGCAAGCCTGTTCCCTCACCACAACCCTCAAAAGGAAGGAGGAAATTAAGCCTCGTAACACCCCCCACACCCTGATCTAAGTACTGCTCTGCATCAAAAAATAAGCTTACCGTCTTACGTTCCTATCCCTAGACACCTGCCAGCCAAACTGCTTTAATAATTTACATTATTCAGTGAAGCCATGTACTAGCTTAGAGTAGTCTTGATAAGAGCCTTATAAAAGCAGCTTCCCTGGAAGCAGAATTAATGCTGAGATGTCGAACCATGGTACTGCAATAATGGGAAGGTTGAGGAAGATGATCTTCCCCTTAATTCTGCTTGATAATATGTTTTTTAAAAATGGTAGTGATCAGCAATGTAGCTTTAAGCAATGCAAGAAGACAGAAAGCTTAAGTTTATTCTTAGATGTGGAAGATGCGTCACTATGGGAATTAATAGGATAGAGTTACCACAGCTTAAGAAAGCTTGGATTTACCTCTAAACTTTTGTTAAAATACATATGCATCTTGTTCTTTTGCGTTAAGGTATTTGGTATTGTTTTAAACACCTAATACCTCGGATCTGATGTGCATGCAAACACACAGGGTGATGAGACTTGTCTGTAAATAGGGTATTTTTTCAAATATATATCGTACTCCCAGATAAAACTTTATATATGTCATTAGCCTAAAAATAACTGGGAGTTATTTCTCTTTTAGGAGGTACTTACTAAATAATACAATAACTTCAATACACTTTGTAACTTTAGTTTCACATTTTCTGCTTTTAGAAGTTCAACTTTATTCAGTGAGTCCTACAGTATTAATATATACAGACATTCATTGTAAAAATAAGTTATGGTCTTTTTAAAAACTGTAGTTTATAGACTTCCATTTGGTTTGACACTATATTCTGAATTTGGTCTAACCTATGAAGTTCTTTACATCTTTGTTGCTTTGTATTTTAACACACCTTTGGTATGATTGCAGTATCTTTTAGCAACTACTCAGATATTGTATATTATAGTGTAAGATTTGTCTTCTCTTTCCCACTTCCTTTTGCTTCTGCATTCTTTTCAATGAGGCTCCCGACTGAATATGAGAGGAACGGGAGATTTGAGGGCTCAAGGTGAGGGTAAAATTTTTGTTTAAAATGTTACTTAGGTGAGTTTGAACCTTTCTCCCCTTGATTACGTGGCATAGTGGCTTCAGGCAGCAGCTTTTGTTTCGTGTAAGGCTTTGAAACTAAACAAAGCAGCATTTCTGTCTGCAAAATGGCTATTAAAGCACTGACTGACTTGGTTCTAAACTTTCATCTTTCCTGTTGCCTTTTCCCTTGTGTGTTTATTTGCATTTTAGTCATTATAATTTGCTGTTGTCTTGTAGATGTGTAGGTAAGTGGTCTCTAGTGAGGCTGCAAACGTGTGGGATAACCACTGAAGGGTGATAAGATATGTCTCATCTCCAAAATCACAGAAAGTTAAACAATATTTTTCATGTTATAATCTTCTTCCAAAATCTGCATATCAAAAAATACTAGAAATGATCAAACTTGTGCTGGTTCTGCCAACTGTTTTCAGGTAGAAAAAACTTTCAAAAAATAAAAGGAGCATTGACTAGAAGTTGGTGTTCCCCCTGCCCTCTTACAGCCTTATTAAATTAAAACCTTAAAGTTAAAACAAAGATCTCTTTAATTTGCTTGCTGAATTTTATAACATCTGGCAAATCATGTAGCTGCATTTGACAGCATAATTCTATGACTCTTGCAGTTACTGAAATCTTTCTAATAGAAGATAAAATTATGAAAGAGGTTATCTTTGAGAAATCTTATTTATTTAGTTTTGACCTTGCTATCGCTTTTTATTTAACTTTTTCATAACTGCCTGCTTTTCATGGTGGTAGAAGAAAAGCATTGTGTAACCGGAAATCCATTGCCAACTATTTTAAAGAGCAGCTTGACTTAATACTGTAAGTCAAACTTTGAAGCTCAACATGAGACCTAAACTGCATGGTTTGGGGTCAGTTAACTTACGTATTTTCAGAAAATACTGAAGCATGACAGTGAATGTATTTAAGTCTCTTGTCCTGAGGGCAAGTAAATTTGAAGAGGCAACTGACAGTGTGCAAATATTCATAAAGCAAATATGTAATTTTTTTTTTCCCTGGAGGTCCAAATATAGTTTCTTATTCTTCAGCTGCGTGACCACTGATTTTAATTGAAGTAGAAGAATCATTGCAAACTAGAAATTTCTGGAACGTTTATTTTCTTTGTCCTGTATAACTTTATTTATCCTTACAAAAGGAAAAGCTTTTTTTTTATTAAAAAAAAACAAACAGTTGCAGACTTGGGAAATGCAGCCTCAATATTTTGTGCTTTATTTCTTAAAACTGTGACAGTAATGGTAACCATCTTATTTGCCATCTTTACTGACAATGTTGAGGCGGTGTCTGATAGTGACTTCCAACTCTCCTTCCTGCATTTCAACCTCAAAGGCGCTTAGCTGCATAGCTTGTAGCAGCGAAACATTTCACCACTTTACCTCTATCGGTTGTTGGTATTAAACAAATTACTTTATCTCTAAGTTTCCTCCCTGTTGAAGGTAACTCCAGTAGCCTACAGTGTGGTGGGTCTCTAGTGATCATCTCAAACACTTACCAGTGCAGGAAGGCCAGAGTGAAACTGAACCAGCCCAGAACTGGGTGGCACATGTTGGCCCTGGGACAGTAGGTGGGTGACCCTTGGCAAGGAGCCCTGGTCCTGCTGTCCTTCCTCCTGCTTGCAGCTAACTACTGTGGGATGCCATGGGCCCTCCCAGTGCTTGGTCTCCAACCTGCTGCACAGGAGGAGGTGCAGAGGAACCCCCAGGATCTTTCTGCACAGGCTCATCCCCGTTGCGTATGAGTGGGCATCTCCCATGGGCTGGCATTCCTACAGCCTGGGCTGAGCACCCTTTTGTCACAAGTCACGCTATTTGAATGTTCCAGAAACTTCTAGCACAGACTTGGTGTTTCAGCTGGCCGCGTGGCCTAAGAATAGGGGTTTGAGCAGAACTTGCCTTAAAATTGAGTTGTAGGTGATGCATGTAGTTCTACCTCCGCAAGGTCGTTTCCCTCATGCTCCTGACTCCAGTGACTTCCAGTTGTCGCCCGTCGTACCATACCTTTGTTTCAGCCCCAACAGCTAATGCTTCACCTTGACTGTGTGTTTGTACAGCAGCTAGGAAAGCGGGGCATTGCTCGCAGCCGGAGCCTCTAGATGCTGCTCTAATACCGGTAGTGTGCATTGAGTGTTAGTTTGCTTCACTAACATGAAATGTGGAGAAGTTAGCTGGCCCTGCTAACTAATAAATTCCTGTCTTTCAGCCGCAATGTAGCTGTGGATCAGAAGGACGAGAACAAGGAAGCCAAGCCTCGGTCGCTGCGTTTTACCTGGAGCATGAAAACCACCAGCTCCATGGATCCCAATGACATGATGAGGGAAATACGAAAGGTCCTGGATGCCAATAATTGTGACTATGAACAAAGAGAGCGTTTCTTGCTTTTCTGTGTCCATGGAGATGGGCATGCGGAAAACCTTGTACAGTGGGAGATGGAGGTGTGTAAACTGCCAAGACTGTCCCTGAATGGAGTTCGCTTTAAGCGGATATCGGGAACATCCATAGCTTTTAAAAACATTGCTTCCAAAATTGCCAATGAGTTAAAGCTGTAACAAGAAAAATAGTTAAGTTGTAAATTAGTTAGCAATTTCAAGTGTTTTCGAGAATTCCGATGGAAATGTATAGAATAACATTTAGGCAATAACTTCTGCATCCTTCTGAATAGTGATATTAAAAAAAAAAAAAAAAAGCTGCTGAGCTGGGAGGGAGAGTTGGACTTTTTTATAAGTGCACTACAGCATTAAAGTTGCCTACTATGTAAAATATTACCCCTTCTGCTTTATTTCCATTGCTCCTAAGTCTTTGACAACAAATTGAAACACAGAATATATTCATTTAAATATGCCTCCTGTTTGTGTGGACGTGTGAATGTACAGTATGTGTGTATAATATATAAAGTATTATATGTAAACAATTCATTTACAACATCAAGCTGTACCAGTACCTCTTTTTGGGCTAATTTTGGTGCTAAAAATTGAAATGGCCAAGGAGGAAACACTTGAGTTAATATTTAAAATAACTGAAGCGATAATCAGTAAATGCAGGTTTACAGTTCACTGCTGTGTTAAGAAAAAAAAAAAGTGTGTGAAGGGTTTGGATTTACGGTTGTGAACATTATTAGTCCTGTTTTCTAAGTAGATCTCATGAGATTATTAAAAAGTCACTTTTACTGAGTAAGTCTTGCATTATATTTTGCCCACCTATTTATTATTTAAGTCTGAATCAAATTTTTAAAATGTAGTTGACTTGTGCATTAAAATTTGGGTAAACGCTTCCATTCTTCTGCTTCTGCTAAACTACTAAAATTGTATCTTTGTCCTTTTGGCTTATGAGTATTGATTGCAGCTAAGAACACTTTTCTGTTGTTCCACCATTCCTCTACAGAATGAGGCAGTCTAAAAGGATGTGCTAAATGCTGATTAGTGACTTTTTCTTTCAGACCAAGTTCTCTACATTAGACTAGGTCAGACTGATACAAAGCACAAAAGGACTCTCAAATAGTGACGGTATTTTGATGCAAGTCGCCATGTCCGAGTCAGTGCCATTCTGGGGTATTGCTGCATGTGTGGCAGTACTGTCCTTTGCGTTCTGGGTGTGCACAGTATTGAAACCCAAAAGTGGGAATCAAATTGGCTACTGATCTCCTTTGTTGTAACATCCAACTTGCTAAACTACAGCCATAGGCAGTAGCAGTTGAAACTTTTCCTTGCAGCTCTCTTCCACCGTGCTTCCACTTGGCTCTGGTTGTATTGCTTTTGATGGCTTTGTGCCAGTTGTGTCTCCTAGCTTCTGCTGCAGAGGGAGTCCACTGTTGCTCTTTTAACATGCAGTGTGGAAGCCTGCCCTTGATGAACTCTGACAGCCAACTAGCTTTCTGTAGGACACAAAGATACTTTGGGATGGTCCCCACTTTTTAACCATCACTGTGGTGAGCCGGATTTGATTTTGCAAACTAGACTGAAGAGATTTCTTCATGCATTGTTTCCTGCTGATACTCAGTTTATTTCATCAAGGACTTATGTAGATAATATCCTGCATTATCTACTTGACTTTTTGTATTACTGTTTTATGCTTATATTTCAGTGAAACACTTAAGCATGTACTTAACATGTGCTTTAAACTGGAGCCTAAATTTGCATTTTAAATTTGCAGTGAGCTGATAGTTTCTCATAGTACACAGTTCAGATTTGACCCGAGGTGAAAATGCAAAATCCTTAATATTTTGCAAGTTAGTTCTTGTTATCTGTAGTCTGTGAAGGCAGCAGACTTCCCCTCTCTTTCCCCCTAAGCATTGATATTGATTATGCTAGTTTAAAGGGTAATCATAGTTGTTAAATGTAGTAAATATTCCTGAATTTGCATTTTATTCTCTGTATATTCTGTATCATGCCATGGCTTGAGAACTCCAGGTGCTACTGGAGTTCAATTGGCTTTCAGTGCTCTGCCCGTGCCTGTGCTGCTCAGTATGGTTTTTTCCATGAAAACTCCATTTTGTAATAGCAATAAGACATTTCAGGGCAGTCATTGTACTTTCTCAGGTGAATGGTCACCTATCCTTTCACTTCCTAAATTTTAAGCACTCCTCCAAATGTATTTTTTTTCACCTGGCAGTGCACTTTGTTGTCTGAACTGAAAAAGTGTTCTGATAAATGATGTAAATCTGTATTCGATGGAAGTTACAAAAGGTTTCATATTAAATGTTTTCTGAAATACTCTCTTCCTACTTCACCTGTTAAATATGTAATTGTTTCTAAAAAGTGCACCAGTATCATACTTTGGATATTTAAAGTTTGTACTTAGAGTATTTTTCTTAAAGTGTTCTCAAAAGGTTCTTTCAGAGTAAATCTGTATTTGAGGTATTAAAAAAAAATTACTTTAATTGGAAACAGATTTTTAACAGCTTACTTCCCAAATGCCGTGTAAAATTACCAAGTTGCAAGAATATGCCCTTGTTTCTTTAGCATACTGCATGCTTGCTGTTCAAGTCTCTAGGAGTTGCCTGGAAAGGAAAACTGCTTTCTTCCTATCTCCAAAACAATGACGAACTTCTTCCCAAACACAGGCCTTTTACTTGTTCATATTCCTTGGGGATCTGTGTAGGTTTATCAGTGTTGCTGCTGATACAACTCTGCAGAACAACAGCTGTTTTTTCTCTCCGTAAGAGACAAGTTTTAAAAATACTCGGAGGTCGGTGTGTGGTGAGGAGGTAGCAGCAGGCCTAGGCATTTTGAGATGCGTGTCTAGCAACCAAGAAGGGATTTTGTGTAATGGTATGACTGGTGTCCTGGAACGTGTGGTCTGAGAGGTGTGTTGGGGGGTGTTTGTAATGGGCTTGTGACTAAATGTTTGCATCGCCAAAACCCGTGTCATCCAGCTCTGAAGATGTCTTTCGGTTGCTGGGTCTGGCAGAGAAAAATGTCTTTAAGAGTTTGTGTTGCGGGGGGTTGACTGCTTTAAATAAAAGTGTTTAGATATGTACATTTTAAAAAAATATGAACACTGAGCAGGAACAAGTTCAGATAAACTTTTTCTCATGCAAACCTTACCTGTACTTAGGCTTTCTAAACCACTTCAGTCCATGTGACGTCTTTACAAGGTCTAAGGTCCTTGACCACATCGAGAAGTAGAGAGGTATGTTAGAGGAACAGCTAGTCTTGCTGGTCTAAGTGTTTTCCATACTACATTTATTCAAGCTACAGTATCTGATCCAAACTGTGGCTTCAAAGGTTTTTTAGTACAGATTTGGACAAGGTTCACCTTTTTCTCCTGTATTACAGTGAAATTTCAAGATGAAATATAGTGAGATACTATATCCCAATCTTTTTTTTAATTGCAGTACTTTTTGTCAAGATAAATTAGAACATTTAAAAAAAATAAATCTGAAATTGTATCCACATGCTTATGTTAAAGAAATGAAGTCAGATGTTCAGGAGTCCTTCTAGTCATATGGAAAGATTGTAGCATATCTGGAATTTAAATAGACATCTCTCCAGTTCAGTTAAAAGCTCAGGTATACATGGGCCTATTGGGATAATGTGTAGAGCTTTTAATCAGTCGTTTCCCACAGCTGCTGTGTCATACAGTGTGTTGTGGATTGCAATTTAATTAGGACTGCAGCCAACCCAGAGAACCATTTTCTCTGTTAAGCCCTGTTCTGGAGCAGCAGTACATACATGCACACTTCAATTTAAAACTCGCTTGGTCGTGCTGGTTTTGGTTCCTGACGGGCTCAGATACCACGCTGGGTGTGGGCAGAGGCCACCTATGAACTAGTGGTGGTGGTCTCTGTATTTCAAGGGTGGGGTGGTTGGGTGTTTCTTGCTGTGCAGTCTGTGATCAGCTATCCAAGACCATGTCTTTTCTTAGTAAGCTAAAGAGTTAAATATTTAGAGAATCTCAGTGGTAGATGGTATTTCTGCTATTGGGGGGATGTCATACTAATGTAAAATTTTTGTTTTCTAATTCACATTGCAGATGTTTAGGAAATACTAAATACAGTTTTGGAAAGCTGATCCCACTGTAGATTAACATTTAATTTTAAACATGTAGATTTGCAATTTCTCCTATTTCCAACAGTCAATACAATCTCATTTCTGTAAGTTCTCATAGAAAAGCCCTGGAGCTTTCCTGTAAAGATAGGCTCACATTATTACAAATCACTGGTGCTGCCAGTTAAACCCCTGATCTGACATTCTGATGAAGTGTGGTTGTGAAAATTCCACCTCTGACCGGAATTTTTCTTTCCGGTAGCAGTGACTTGTTTCATTGATTTCACCACTGACCATTAGTCCATTGCTTCAGAGAAACTGTTATCCAGCAAGAAGGGGCATAAGCTTTGGATAAAAGCTCAACCTAGTGCAATTAATAAGAATTTTTTAAAAGTCACACTTCTTCATACCAAAGGCCCAACAGTGTCCTGCATTGCAGCAGCAGTAAATCCATAGAGAAATCTAAGAAACACAAGACAGATACAGTAATTGTTCTCCGTGTGTGTGCTCCTTACTTCTGACAAACTTAAGAGCAGGAAAAAAGCTAACCTTTAAACTTGTTCAGATAACTTGATGGTTTTCATGTTCCCGTTTCTGCTGGTCTCTTCTTAATGTACTACCAGGTACTGCCTCCAAGGAAAGGGGCTGGATAAAATGAGCAAAACCATGGGGGAGCAGTCTCTTCACCCAGTGCTTCTGAAGTTGAAACAGTATGGTATTTGAAGCAATAGAATTTGAAAGACCCTTAACTGGTCTTTTTTAGCCTCCTAAGAATGTTTTAACCTTTGGTACAAACAGTGGGCTCTTGTTCCAGCAGTAACTGAAAACTGAAGCTGTGTCGATACCAACACTATGAATCCTGTAAGTATCTGCACAGAAGCCATGTTCAGGGCATTAATTGCCAGTTGTTGGGACTTCATCTTCACCTACAAGTGCCATTAACACCTTGTAGTGGTTGTGACTTAGCAGGTAAGAAGATATTTATTGCAGGGGAAAAAAAAAATGCTTTTGCTTGCTTTTTGCTTCTGTGTGTTGAGCACTTGAAACTGTGTTCTGAGACTCGGATGTAAAATTGATGCAAAGTGGCCATGGTTATGGTTGCTGTGGGAACCACGGCATTGAATTTCAAGGCATAGAAATGTTGCAGTTCTCATTCCATTAGTGCCCTTATGTTATCATTTAATAATATCCTTATGAAATTCAGGGCATAAAACCAAAATATTTGTACAGTTCATGTTTCCTTGTAGTTGCTGATCACACTGAATGTATTAGGTGAATAAAATCAGATAATGAAATAACTCGCCAGAAAAATAATTCTGTTAAAACATATGGGCATGCAAAATCGGAAAGTGAAATGCTCCTGGTGTTGAACAATCGCACCATTTTCAATCATTTGCCTATCTCAAGGTACAGCCCCTGTTTGCTTGGAGGTGTCTCTTACCAAGACCTCAGCTCAGTGTGAGCACTGTAACCAACTACAAACAGCAAAGTCTTTCTAAGCACAGAATTATTTTCCCCCTGCCGTCCCCAGCCAGAAGGCATGAAATGAAGTGCTTTCACACGTTTCCACAGAGATGGGATAAACACCAGCCTGATAGGATCTTGGAGACATTTGAGAGCATGTGTTCTAGTTGTCCTGTGTCTGCGGTGCCCAAAGGAGCAGGGGCTGGTGGCGTGGGGCACCTGCTGCGGAGCTGGAGGCAGGGTGGGATGGTGGTGGGTGCCTGGGTGGGTGCATGGTCCTTTCTGCAAGGAAAGGCGAGCTGTGGAGGGACGTTGCAGTGTCTGCAGTGGCCACAGGATGTCTCTCAAATGCAGAAACACACTTCTGGTTGGTGTTCATCTGGAATATTTTTAGAAAAGAGCTCCAAGGATCACTTGCTCCATGCAGAGCGACGACTTCACATCGGTTATCGGTGTTACCGGCCTTTCGGACAACTTTGACTTACTGTTAAAAGCATTGGGGGGAAAAAATGCACCACAAGATATTGACGGAAGGTGCATATTTTTCAGGTTGAAAAATACCCTAATGCTATGTTTAACTTTCCATTATGTTTTATTGCTTTCGGAGCTGAGGTGTAGTTAAATGGTCTTTAGCTTTGCCATGGAAAACCTGTAGGGCTGCAAAACCCTTTTCCACTTGTTTGTCAAGCCTTGTTCCGTCTCCTTTCCTAGAAAATGACCATGCTGGGGAGCAGACTCTTCTGCTGAGAAGGGTAAAAGGAATATTGGATGTTTAAATTCATTTCCAGCTTTTTAAAGAGTAAAAATCTTTGTTTTCCTGTTTGGAAATTTAATTACTGAAGCTATTTTGCTGTTCATCCTTTAGTAATCAGTGTAATCAAGGCTGTAAATTGCAGCCAGCCTTTTCTAAAATAATCTGGGATCACTTGCCATTTATATTTCACTGTATTAAGTAACTCTAAAGCTTTATGCCTGGCATTTTCCATGTCTGCAGCCTGTTTTAATCTTCAAACAAATCTTGTTGCTTATGCTTTGAGTAGGCAAGAAGTGAAACTTCCTTATTTGCTCAGGATTTTTTTCAAATCACATATTTTGCTGCAGCTTTCACTTTTACGGTAATCAAAGTTTTGCTGTTGGGGGATTAATAGTGACTGGTACTAATATTTATCGCTGGGATGTTTGGCTTTGGCATCTGGAAATGGAGAAGCTGTTTATTTTGGTCAATCTCAGGCTGCTCCATGTTCTTTCTATGAAAGAACTCTGTGACTGGTCCCCTTCTTCCTGCAGTCCCAGACCCCATTGCCTGCTGCCGAGCCCTTTTCTGTGCTTCCCAAGGCGATGCCCTGAAGCACTGGTTGCGGTGGGAGTTGCGGCGTGTGCAGGGCTCATGGCTTTGTGTGTGGCTGTGCAGTGGGAACCACAAAAGGAGGATTTTGCTGTTGGGAAGTTCTGTTCCTCAGCACCAATCTGGGAGCAGCCGCCAGAGCAGATTTGTTGGGTCAAATATATGTATTTTAGTGGTTTTATCTAACTGACCCCTTCATGAACTTCTTTATCGCTGGCATCTAAAACTTGTTGCCTTCTCCTTACCTCCAGAGATGAGCCTTGGCTGAACCCATCTGGCTGAAGCCTTCTTTGAGCTAAAGTCTCGATTTAAGGGACAGTCTCTTTTTGAGGTCTTCTGTGGTGTCAGGGCTCCGTGAATCTCTCTGGACCGGGACTGTAAGTGCTCTTCTAGCTGGTGAAAGAGTACAAGTGCT